GTTGAAATTACTGTAGCATTTTAATGTGGACATTCTGAAGACATCTATAAATGATCATACCATTATTTAGGATGCAAGATAAGATTAGTAGCATATATTTGTTGGGTCTTTCAGTTTATACATCGTATACATGTGATTTATATGTCATAAAAATGTAGCTGATAGAATACTCCAGCATAGATAACATTACTGTTATTCAACAACTAGATAGTTATTTCGGGTAAATGTACATATATCACACAAGACAACATTTGAAGACCTGTTCTGAAAAGAAGTCCATTAGGAAAGGAAAGCATTTATCCTATATTTGGACATTTTTACCAATAGTAAGTTAATATGTAATACTGAACTAACTATCAAATGAAGCTCATCAGAATTCCCATTCAATATAGTGAAGATCGGCTGGATGTGGTGCCTCATGCCTGTAATCCCTTCACTTTGGGAGGCCAAGGCGGGCAGATCACCTGAGGTTGAGAGTTCAAAAACAGCCTGGCTAACATGGTGAAACCCTGTTTCTGCTAAAAATATAAGAAATTAGCTGGGCGTGGTAGCACGTGCCTGTAATGTCAACTACTCAGGAGGCTGAGGCAGGAGAATCGCTTGAACCTGGGAGGTGGAGGTTGCAGTTAGTGGAGATCACGCCATTGCACTCCAGCTTGGACAACAAGAGTGAAACTCCATCTCAAAAAAATATATACTGAAGATTCAGAAACTGAAAGGGGCCAGGTGCAGTGACTCACACGTGTAATCCCAGCACTTTGGAAGGCTGAGCCAGGCAATTCACCTGAGGTTAGGAGTTTGAGGCAAAGGTTGCAGTGAGCCAAGATTGCGCCACTGCACTCCAGCCTGGGTGACAGAGCTAGACTTCATCTCAAAAAATAATAATTAATAAATAATTTCAAAATAAAGAACTATAATAGGGGCTACTCTAAAAAGAACTCTGAAGAATATAGGACTATAGCTGGGCACAGTTACTTAGCTTATAATCCCAGCACTTAGAGAGGCTGAGGTGGGAGGATTGCTTGAGTTCAGGAATTTAAGACCATCCTGGGCAAAATGGCAAGACCCTGTCTCTACAAACAAAGATTTTTAAAAAATGTATTAGCTGGGTCTGGTAGTGCATGCCCATAGTTCCAGCTACTCAGGAGGCAAGGCAGGAGGATGGGAGGATCCCTTGAATCCAGGAGCTACAGGATGTAGTGTGCAGTCATCACTCCAGCCTGGGTTGGAGTGCAGTAGCATGATCACTGCATACTACATCCTGTAGTTTCTGGGCTCCTTTGTCTCAAAAAAAAAAAGGATTAGCAGATATAAGTAACAGTCACAAACCCCAGGGCCGAGACAGAGGGCACTCAAAAGATCCCTCTTCCACAGGACTCAGATTCAGGCTTATTGGAGGAGCCACAGCTGCTATGAATGGCAGAGAAGTTGCTGTGGTGCCACATTAGCAAAACTTCCTGGAAATCTGCCATTTGGACCTGGTTGGAAATTTATCCCCTAGTATGCTGTCCTCTAAGGTGATGGGGAAAGCTGTTCATGGAGAGGTGTCTCACCTGAGGCACAACTTTTGGGGGAGTTGGTAGGGCAAGCTGCTAGCTACTCCATGCTGCAGCAGGTGCTGTAGGGGTTGGAGAACATCTCCTACAAAAAGCACCCGAGGGGAGGGCTGATGGGGGAAGCTGCTGACTGCTTTTCAGTGCACTGCAGGACCCTGACACTGGAAAGCTTCAGACATCACAGTGGCCTGCTCTATGATGAGCACAGGGGAACCAGGAAGCAAGACTCTTCTTACAAATGTCTCTCTAGCACCTTATATTGGGAAAGCTTAACATCATGCCAGATGGCATAGGAAAAATATGTAAAGGACCCAAGTTGATTTTTATATTATTTTATTTTGTTTAAATTAGAGATGGTGGTCTCACTGTGTTGTTCATTCTGGTCTCAAACTTCTGGTCTCAAGTGATCCTCCTGCCTCAGCCTCCCAAAGTGTTGGGATTACAGATGTATACCACCATACCAGACCTGCAAGTCTATTTTAACAGCAAAGCAAAAAGAATGAATATATAGGTCAGGGGCAATACATTTGTAACTGATACAATGTCTTTGAATTTTATTAATTTTTTTACATGAACCAACTTTTTATATATTATTTGTTTTCTAATTTTGTTTATGCTCTTATAATTTATTTCCTTCCTTCAACTTTCATTGGTTTTAATTTGCTATTTTTCTAGTTTCTTGAGATGGATGCTTAGATCGTTAATAAACAGCCCTTTCCTTACCAATATATGAATTTAAATCTATACATTTCCCTCTGTATTTCTGTTGTATACAAGTTTTGATTTGCTATATTTCCATTATCATTTGGTTCAAAATAGTTTCTAGTTTCCATTGTGGTTTCTTCTTTAGCTCAAGAATTATATACAAGTATAGTGATTAAATTCCAGAAAGGTAAAATTTTTCTAGTTATCTATTTTGTATTGATTTATAGCTTAATTGCACTAATGGCAGAGAACATACTTTAAATGATTTCAATCCTTTGAAATGTTTTTGAGACTTATTCTGTGTCCCTGTGTCCCTCATAGTCCCTCCTGGTCTCAAATTTTGACCTCCTACAGCTCTGGCATTACAGGCATGAGCCACTGAGTCTAGCCTCTGTCAGTTTTTAGTTTATATTTTTGGAATTTAGGAAACTGAATGTTTCCCACCTTAGTCTTATTATATATTCCTGGTACTGACTACTTTGCCATTATGAAATATCCCTCTAGTAACCCTTCATGCCTTAAAGTTTAATTTTCCTGATAGTAACTCCACTAGCTTTCTTTCAGCTTTCCTTGTTTGTTTTAGCTGCTGAGAGGAGTTTTCTCCCTCTTTAATTGTGGATTTTTGTATTTTTTATTTTAGTTCTATTTAGCTCTGTCATGTTTGTGTATGTTGTGTATGTGTGGGTGGGTGTGTGTCGTGTTTTTGCTTTAGAGACAGGTCTTACTCTGTCACCCAGGCTGGAATGCAGTAGTGTGATCATGGATCACTGCAGCCTTGCATACCTCGTCTCAAGTGAACCTCCCAAGTAGCTGGTACTACAGGTGTGCACCACCATGCCTAGCTAATTTTAAATTATTTTTGTAGAGTTGGAGTATCACTGTGTCGCCTAGATTTGTCTCAAACTCTTAGCCTCAAACAGTCCTCCATTCTGGCCTCCTAAAGCTTCGAGATTACAGACTTGGTTTATATGTTTGGAAGTTAGGAAATTGAGTGTTTCCCAACTTAGTCTTATTATATATTCCTGGTACTGACTACTTTGTCATTATGAAATATCCCTCTTTATCTCTAGTAATACTTCTTGCCTTAAAGTTTATTTTTTCTGTTATTAACTCCACTAGCTTTCTTGCAGTTAGTATTTAATGTTTTATCTTTTTCCTTTTCTTTTTTTTTTTGAGACAGAGCCTCTCACTGCCACCTGGGCTGGCATGCAATAGTGCAGTCTTGGCTCACTGCAACCTCTGCCTCTTGGGTTCACACAATTCTCCTGCCTCAGCCTCCCAAGTAGCTGGTATTACAGACGCAAACCACCACACCTGGCTAATTTTTGTATTTTCAGTTGAGACTCTGTTGGCCAGACTGGTCTTGAACTCCTTACCTCGTGATCCACCCACTTCGGCCTCTCAAAGTGCTGGGATTACAGGCATGAGCCACCGCGCCCGGCCCTAAGCAGAGAGAAAATTTAAGACATAGATACACACATGAAGTAAAGAGCTATAAAAGAAAGACATAGAGGCCGGGCTCGGTGGCTCACGCCTGTAATCCCAGCACTTTCGGAGGCCAAGGTGGGTGGATCTCGAGGCGGGTGGATCCTGAGGTCAAGAGATCAAGACCATCTTGGTCAACATGGTGAAACCCCCGTCTCTACTAAAAATACAAAAAATTAGCTGGGCATGGTGGCGCGTGCCTGTAGTCCCAGCTACTCAGGAACTCAGGAGGCTGAGGGAGGAGAATTGCCTGAACCCAGGAGGCGGAGGTTGCGGTGAGCTGAAATCACGCCATTACACTCCAGCCTGGGTAACAACAGCGAAACTCCGTCTCAAAAAAAAAAAGAAAAAACAAACTCCCTCTGCTTTTATTTTATGTAAAGATAAGAGTCAATTCTACTGTAAATCCAGGATGATCTCATTGGAGATCCTTAATTTAATTACACCTACCAAAAAAGTTTTTTTTTTTGTTTTTTTGAGATGGAGTCTCACTTTGTCTCCCAGGCTGGAGTGCAGTAGCATGATCTTGGCTCACTGTAGCCTCCTCCTCCTGGATTCAAGCAATTCTGCAACAGCCTTCTGAGTAGCTGGAATTACAGGCATGTACCACCACACCTGGCTAATTTTTATATTTTTAGTAGTTGGCCAGGCTGGTCTCGAATTCCTGACCTCAAGTGATCCACCCACATTGGCCTCCCAAAGTGCTAGGATTACAGGTATGAATCACTGCACCTGGCCTAGTGCTTGTAATCTTTTTACTAAACTCTGTTTTTATTCCATAGGTATTTAATAAATATTTGGTGAAGGAAGAAATAACAAAGAGACTCTGAGAGGTTTCTGTCACTAAAATATGTTTAGGACTTATATATATATTCATATATTTATTGAATACTATGTCACAGACATTCTGTGGCAGACTTTTCATTATTTTTAATTAGATACTAAGATTTTGGTCTTTTAATTTCCATTGGGTTTAAGGTTTTACTATCTTTGAGTTTTTATATTTTCTGTTTTTATTGTTTTAATAGTGGTTCTGCTTTGTTTTACATATAAGCTGTTTGCTAGAAGCTGAACCTGAGACATTGGGATACAATTATAGGTGGAGCTAGTGCTAGGCTGACAGATGCATACCTGAATGTGCACTTTAGTTACAGAGTTTAACTGTGTTTGCTATTAAATGAATCCACTTAGTAACGTTTTCAGAGATTTAGAAAGAAGAAATAGTAATCTTTGTGATTTTCTGTTCTCTTTCAGCTTTCAGAAGAATTATTAGATAAATGGCTCTCTTACCCAGAGTCCCAGCACGTGCCCCTCAGCCAGCATATGCTTGGTTTTGCTATGAAGTCTGTTACACAGATGGTAATGGGTAGTACATTTGAAGATGATCAGGAAGTTGTTTGCTTCCAGAAGAATCATGGCACAGTAAGTCTGGGGCTAAATTTAAAATTATTCTTTCAGGCTGGGTGCAGTGACTCATACCTATAATCCCAGCCCTTTGGGAGGCTGAGGTCAGGAGTTTGAGACCAGCCTGCCCAACACAGTGAAACCCTGTCTCTACTAAAAATGCAAAAATCAGCCAGGTGTGGTAGTGGGTGCCTGTAATCTCAGCTACTCGGGAGGCTGAGCCACGAGAATCGCTTGAAACTGGTAGGCAGAGGTCACAGTAAGCCAAGATCATGCCCCTGCACTCCAGCCTGGGTGACAGAGTAAAAGTCTGTCTAAAAAACAAATAAATAAAATAAAATAGGCCTGGCACAGTGGCTCACGCCTGTAATTCCAACACTTTGGGAGGCAGAGGTGGGCAGATCATCTAAGGTCAGGAGTTCGAGACCAGCCTGACTAACATGGTGAAACCCCATCTCTACTAAAAATACAAAAAAATTAGCCAGGCATGGTGGCACATGCCTGTAGTCCCAGGTACTTGGGAGGCTGAGGTAGGAGAATTGCTTGAACCTGGGAGACAGAGGTTGCAGTGAGCCGAGATCGAGCCACTGCACTCCAGCCTGGGAGACACGAGTGAGACTCTGTCTCAAAACAATTAATTAATTAATTAATTAATTAAATTATTCTTTCATCATTAGCCAGGCGTGGTAGCATGTGCCTGTTGTCCCAGCTACTGAAGCTGAGGCAGGAGGATTACTTGAACCCAGGAGTTCAAGGCTACAGTGAGCTATGATTGTAGTACTGCACTCCAGCCTTAGAGACAGTGAGGCCCTGTCTCTAAAAAAATAATAATAATAATTCTTCATCATACTGGATAGTTTAATAATGCAGATTGTTGCCTATTAAGAACAAGGCTTGGCTGGGTGTAGTGGCTCACACCTGTAATCCAAATACTTTGGGAGACCGAGGCGGACAGATCACTTGAGGTCAGGAGTTCAAGGTCAGCCTAGCCAACATTGCAAAACTCCATCTCTACTAAAAATACAAAAACTAGCCAAACATGGTGGCTTGTGCCTGTAATTCAAGCTGCTTGGCAGGCTGAGGCATGAGAATTGCTTGAACCCGGGAGCCAGAGGTTATAGTGAGCCAAGACTATCCTACTGTGCTTCAGCCTGGGTGATGGAGTGAGACTTGTCTCAAAAAAAAAAGAGATCTCACTATTGTTTCCATGATTTTCTTCCAGTTGCTGATATCTATCCTGCATATTTTTATGCTGGTGTTTTTTTTTCTTTCCTTTCTTATAACCTCAAAATAGAAATAATTTCAAACTTACAGAAAAGTTACAGTTAATACAAGGAACTCCCTCCCTCCCTTAGATCCTTTACCTAGGTTCAGTAATTGTTTACATTTTGCTGCACATGCTTTTGTTATTCATTTTCTGTCTATCTATATCTATATCCATTCCTCCCTCTTTCCTCAAATCATTGGAGAGTAAACTGAACATTTTGCCTGCTTGCCCGTAAACATTTCAGGTGATGTTTTCCTATAAGCAAGGATATTCTCTTATGAGTGACAACAGAGTTATCAAATTTCTTTGGTTATATCAATAATAATCTTGTAGATTCACAGCCTCATCCCTTCCAATTCCAGGACCCAACCCATGATCACTCAGTACTTTTAGAGATCAGACCTCTTTAATCTGGAACGGTTCCTCAGCTTTTCTTCATTTATAGACCTTTACATTTTTGAATAGTACAGGACAGTTATTTTGTAGACAGTTATCCTTCAATGAGTTTGTCTGATATTTCATGAGTAGATTCAAAATATATATTTTTGGCAAGAATTTGATGTTTTCTTAATATTACTAAAAGCTGTCAAAGGAAACTTTACAGACTATAAACAGGATTTACTCTTCCTCAAATGATTTTTTCTTTCTTTCTTTAAATATCCACAGCCTTGCCACCAGAGTGGACTGTCAAGCATTTTTTTTATTTGTATAAATTTATGGGTTATATGTATAATTTTAGTACATGCATAGATTGTATAGTGGTGAAGTCAGGGCTTTTAGTGTATCCATCACCCAAATAATGTACATTGTTCCCATTAAGTGATTTCTTATCATCCTCCTGGCCACCCCCGAAATGATCTTTTAATGTCTGAAATGCCAAGAGATTGCCATTGTTCAGTTATGTCACCAAGAATAATAACCAACTTGTAAATTCAGAGCCAATGACAACTGCATCATGACTGCCACTTGGATCAAAACAGTTGGAAGATGTCATCACTTGTAAGATGCATACTGATTTCACAGGTGTTAAAATATGAAAAAACATACATCTTGCCTTCAGTTGCATATTGTATTTCCTAACTGCCTCCCAGAAACATTGTCCCAAGTATTTTTCCATCAATATTAGTGTGCTCTTACCCTGTGCTTTTGGCAACATTTAGAATCGTTGGTCCTTAAATATTTGCCTTTCTAGGCCAGGTATAGTGGCTTATGCCTGTAATCCCAGCACTTTGGGAAGTCAAGGCAGGAGGATTACTTGAGCCTAGAAGTTCAAGACCAGCCTGGGCAACACAGTGAGAACTCTATCTCTACCAAAAAAAAAAATTTTTTTTTGAGACAGAGTCTTGCTCTGTCACCCAGGCTATAGTGCAGTGGCAGGATAACAGCTCATGGCATCCTCCACCACCCTGGTTCAAGCAATTCTCCTGCCTCAGCCTCCTGAGTACCTGGGACTACAGGAATGCACCACCACGCCTGGCTAATTTTTTTTTTTTTTATTTTACTAGAGATGGCATTTCACCATGTTGACCAGGATGTCTCGATCTCCTGACCTTGTGATCCGCCCGCCTTGGCCTCCCGAAGTGCTGGGATTACAGGCATGAGTCACCGCACCAATCCTATACAAAAAATAATAAAAAAAATATTCAAGTGTGATGACATGCATGCCTATAGTCCCAGCTACTTGGGAGACTGAGGCAGGAGGATCATTTGAGCCTGGGAGGATCACACCACTGTACTCCAGCCTGAATGATAGACTGAGACCCTGTCTCAAAAAAAAAAAAAAAAAAATTGCCTATCCCATAAGCCAAAAATGACATTTTGTGATTGAAATATATAGTTGTTTGTTGTTGTTTTTGAGACAGAGTCTCGCTCTGCTGTTCAAGCTGGAGTGCAGTGGTATGATTTCAGCTCACGGCAACCTCTGCCTCCCAGATTCAAGTGATTCTCCTGCCTTACCCTCTTGAGTAACTGGGATTCCAGGCATGGGCCACCATACCCAGCTAATTTTGTTATTTTTAGTAGAGATGGGGCTTCACCATCTTGGCCAGGTTGATCTCGAACTCCTGACCTTAGGAGGTTCGCTCGCTTCAGCCTCCAAAGTGCTGGGATTACAGGCTTGAGCCACTGCACCCAGCCAGTTTTTTTTTGTTTGTTTTTTGAGACAGAGTTTCTCTCTTGTTGCCTAGGCAGGAGTATAATGGTGCAATCTTGGCTCACTGCAACCTCTGCTTCCTGGGTTCAAGCGATTTTGATGCCTCGGCCTCCCCAGTAGCTGGGATTACAGGCACCTGCCACCACGCCCAGCTAATTTTTGTATTTTTAGTAGAGATGGGGTTTCACCATGTTGGCCAGGCTGGTCTCGAACTCCTGATCTCAAGTTATCCATCCGCCTCAGTCTCCCAAAGTGCTGGGATTACAGGCGTGAGCCACCATGCCCGGCCTGAAATGTATAATTCTCTTATTACTTATGAAGTTAAACATCTTTTTGGTTGGGTGTACAATGGTTCACGCCTATAATGTTCGCACTTTGGAAAGCCCAAGGCAGAAGGATTACTTGAGCCCAGGAGTTTGAGGCCAGCCTAGGCAACATGACAAAATCCCATCTTTACCCAGAAAACTCACAAAAATTAGCTGGGTGTGGTATCGCACTCTTGTAGTCCCTATTAGTTGGGAGGCTGAGGCCAGAGGATTGCTTGAGCCCAGGAAGTGGAGGTTGCAGAGAACCATGATTGTGCCATGGAACTCCAGCCTTGGAGACAGAGACAGACACTGTTTTAAAAACAAAAAAAAAATCATATTTTTATACTTTTATTAAACACTTGGGTTTCTTTTGTGGGATGTTTTCTTATGTCCTCTGCCTATGTTTCTTCATAATTTTATTTTTTTGTGACATAGTATCGCCCTGTTGTCCAGACTGGTCTCAAACTTTTGGGCTCAAGGGATCCTCTAACTTCAGCTTCCCAAATATGTGTTAGGCCCACCTGGCTCTTTTGCCTGTATTTCTATTGATGTGTTTCTTTTTCTGACTAATCTAGAATAGCTCTTTATTTTTAGTCTCAGTTTTCATTTGCTTTTACATTTATTTATAGTAAATAAATAAAAGCTTTGTGATATTTTTTCAGTATCACAAATGTTAATGTTTTTATATAGCTAAATCAATTTAACTCTTTCATTGTGAATTTGTGCCCTGTGCTCTGTCATGCTTAGAAACTCCTTTCAAACTTTAAGGGTTTTATCTAAATATTTGCATTTTTTTTTTCTTTTTTTTTTAGGCTGCAGTGCTGCAATGTCAGCTGACTACAGCCTCCAACTCCCAGACTCAAGCTATCCTTCCACCTAACCCTCCTGAATTAGCTAGGACCACAGCTGCTCACCACCACACCTGGCTAATTCTTTGTATTTTTCGTAGAGAAAGAGTTTCACCATGTTCTTAAACTCCTTAGCCCATATAGTCTACCCGCCCTGTCCTCCCAAAGTGCTGGGATTATGGGTGTGAGCCACTCAGCCTACTATTAATTTTTACCATAGTTTTAGTAGTTTGATTTTTTTTTTACATTTAATCTGAACTGTTTGCATTTAAGGTAAGCATTGAGGACTTTTAAAAATGTATTGTTTTTCAAATACAGTATTTAGCCATTGATTAATAAGTGTTGTGTCCTTTCCCTAAGTTCTCTGGCTCTGTCCCCCAGACTGGAGTGCAGTGGCATGATATTGGCTTACTGCAATGTCTGCCTCCTGGGTTCAAGCTATTCTTTTGCCTCAGCCTCCTGAGTAGCTGGAACTACAGGCGCACGCCACCACGCCCAGCTAATTATTATTATTATTTATTTTTTTTTTTCAAGTAGAGATGGTTTCACTGTGTTAGCCAGGATGGTCTTGATCTCCTGACCTCATGATCTGCTCGCCTCAGCCTCCCAAAGTGTTGGGATTACAGACCTGAGTCACCGCACCCAGCCTATTCTTAGAACTTTCGAATTAAAATCAGGTTAAAGTTTGTTCAGGGGCTAATTGTGAAAATTTGGAAGCCTATTCTGCAGTTTATATCCAAATCTCAGACTTTTAACCTTTTTCTTTACCTCAGCCAATGTTTATCAGTATTACAGGTGAAAGAAATTTGTAATTAACCTGTGAATTTTATTTTACACTTGTGCCAGTATAATACAAAAATGAGGACTGACTTTACCGCTGTGTCCTTTTTCTTGTCCTTACTCCTTCTAGAGAAAAGAAATTTTTCACTTTCCACTTCTTATTAGTTTGAAAGTGCCTTGAATGAAATCATTAAAATATATTTGTACCCTCTCCTCTGAGACTATGGAGTAAAGGATTGTGCAGCCAGTTGAAAAGGAGAGTTTAATTATCAGATTTGTTGGTGAGAAAAGAGTTCCTGCCAGTTGGGTTGCTCACGCCTACAATCCCAACACTTTGAGGGACTGAGATGGGAGGATCACTTGAACTCAGGTGTTCAAGACCAGTCTGGGAAACATGGTGAAACCCATCACTGCAAAAAACAGAAAAATTAGCTGGCCATGGTGGCACACATCTGTAGTCCCAGCTGCTTAGAAGGCTGAGGTGGGAGGATAGTTTGAGGTGGAGGTTGCAATGTGCTTTGATTGTGCCATTGCACTCCAGCACTCCAGCCTGGGTGACAGAGCCAGAACTCTGACTCAAAAAAAAAAAAAAGTTCTTAAGTTAATAGGTCACATTGCTCTGTATTATTTTAAAAATTCTACCTATTAGATAATAGATATGTATATTTACCTATTTTCAGGTTTGGTCTGAGATTGGAAAAGGCTTTCTAGATGGATCACTTGATAAAAATACAACTCGGAAAAAACAATATGAAGATGGTAAGTTGGTCACTCTTAATTTTTAGTGAGGACAAAAAATAAAGATGGCGTAGTTTTAATAAGGTTATCTCTGAATAGTGAGATTAAAGTTCATTTATATTTTCTTTCTTTATGCTTTTTTTCTACATTTTCTACAAATGGAAGTTTTCTTTAGCAGAAGTGAAGAAAAATTATTAAATTAGTAAAACAAACTCTAGCACTCACTGTTGAATGAGAGTGCTATAGAGCTGATACACTCTACAGGATTAACGGAAAGCATAAGGGTACAATCTTAAGAAAGCAGTTTGCTACTGCATACTGAAAACCATAAATAATGGATGAAAGTATATGAAACAAGACAATATTCCTGAAGGTATATTTTGTAGTTCTATTTCTGCAAGTAGAACAAGTAGTTTGTTCTGTAAGCAGGAACAAACTATAAATGTTCAACACTATAGGAATTAGTAGGGAAATAATGTCAACATGATTAAATATTACAGATATTTATAAAAAATGGCAGCCATGGTAGCACATGCCTGTAGTCCCAGCTACTTGGGAGGCTGAGTTGAGAGGATCACTTCAGCTCAGGAGTTTGAGATGAAAAAAATTTTTTTAAATTAGCAATGTAGGCCTGGTATGGTAGCACACACCGTAAGCAGATCATTTGAGGCCAGGAGTTCGAGACCAATCTGGCCAACATAGTGAAACCCTATCTCTACTAAATAAATATAAAACATTAGCCAGGTACAGCAGCATATACCTGAAATCCTAGCAACTCAAGAGGCTGAGGCATGAGAACTGCTTGAACCCTGGAGGCAAAAGTTGCAGTGAGTCAAGATCCTGCCACTGCACTCCAGCCTGGGTGAGTGAGACTCTATCTCAAAGAAAAAAAAAAATTGCAACCTCAAAAATTTTTGTCATTATAACATTGAATAAAAATATTTTCAATATTGTTTGGCATTGATTACAACTTTATACAGTTCACACAGAAAAATAGCAATTTTAATATAAGATAGCTGTCCCAAATTAATTATTCCATCTTACTCTTTTTTCTGTCAGTGGTTGAATAATTATAACGCTTTAGGCTGGGCATGGTGGCTCACACCTGTAATCCCAGAACTTTGGGAGGCCGAGGCAGGCAGAGCACCTGAGATCAGGAGTTCAACACCAGCCTGGCCAACATGGTGAAACACCATCTCTACTAAAAATATAAAAAATTAGCTAGGTATGGTGGTGGGCGCCTGTAATCCCAGCCACTCAGGAGGCTGAGGCAGGAAAATCACTTGAACCCAGGAGGCAGAGGTTGCAGCGAGTCAAGATCACACCATTACACTCCAGCCTTGGTGACAAAGTGAAACTCCGTCTTTAAAAAAATAAAATATAAATTAAAAAAGCTTTAATACTTTCTAAAATGTGTTGTTACTGTTGTTGTTGTTGTTGTTATTATTATTTTAAGACGGAGTTGCCCAGTTGGGGTGCAGTGGTGCGATCACAGATCAGTGCAACCTCTACCTCATGGGTTCAAGCGATTCTCCTGCCCCATCCTCCTGAGTAGCTGGGATTACAAGTGTGCATCACTATGCTAAGTTTTGTATTTTCAGTAGAGACAGGGTTTCACCATGTTGGCTGGGCAGACCTCGTGATCTGCCCACCTTGGCCTCCCAAATTGCTGGGATTACAGGCATGAGTCACCACGCCTGGCCAATAATTTTATTCTAAGCTACTTCATTTCATTTTTTGGAAGCATGCAGGATAACTTAAAATACAGAGGCTGCATTGGAATAATGGATTGTTTTCTATACATTATAGTTTTGCTTCACAGGATTTTTTTTCTTCATCCTTTCAACAAACATTTATTGAGGCTGTGCTAGGCCTTATTCTATGCATAGGAGACAGAAATCCCTATTCTCATTAGCTTACAGTTTTAGTGATTTTCTTGGGCCAACAGATGTAAAAAAGAAAAGAAAAACAGTTTAATTGACACATTTCCTGCTATCTGGTTTTTATGACCATTATGATTATCTTGATCAGTGCATTTGGATTCATTCCCCTTGATAAAAAATGTATTTCAGGAATACTGGTTAAATTAATATGAAATGAAAATAATTTATATTCTTTGATTCTAAATAAAAATTGTATGGCATGATGTGTTCCCTTGGGCTGTAACATGGGCATAGATCAGATTTGAGCTTTTATTGAAAATGATTATGTTCTAGTGTTATAAAAGTGGGATCCCATGACTGGATCAGAGCTTCCTTTGTTTAATTTCCAACCTGATTTGCACATTAGAATCAGTTGGGGAACTTAAAGCCCAAAACCTGAAGATCAGGCCTTATCCTAGACCAGTTTATTCAGAATCTGAGATGGGGGTACCATGGACATCAGGTATTTTTGTGAAAGCGCTCCAGATTATTCTAATGTACTTGTAGGGTTGAGAATGTACAACAGTAGTTCCCAAACTTTGCTACACATTGAATCTTTTATATTGAAGCCTGACTTCTACCTGTAAACATTCGGATTTAATTGGTATGAGGGGTGACTTGTGCTTTACTGTTGTTTGAAAAAAACTTATCAGGTGATTCTAATGTATAGCAAAGTCTGGGAACAGCTTCTTTACAGTGTTAATAATTTCTTATCTTATTCTTTTTTTTTTTTTTGAGACAGAGTCTCACTCTATCGCCCAGGCTGGAGTGCAGTGGTGCAATCTTGGCTCACTGAAACCTCTGCCTCCCGGGTTCAAGCAATTCTCCCACCTCAGCCTCCCAAATAGCTGAGAGGACAGGCACTTGCCACCATGCTCAGCTCATTTTTGTATTTTTTAGTAGAGATGGGGTTTTACCACATTGGCTAGGCTGATGTCAAACTCTTGACCTCAAGTGATCTACCTCGGCCTCCCAAAGTGCTGGGATTACAGGCGTGAGCCGCCGCGCCCAGCAATAATTTCTCATTTTAATCACTAATATGTATTATATTGATTCAGTTCTATAAATATTTAATAAAGATCTATGATATCCTGGCATGTTTTGGTTGCTGAAGAGCCTAAACAAAATTTCTTGCCTTTTTTGGAACCACATTCTAGTGGGAAGAAACAGACAGTAATCTAAATAAGTAAATTGAATAGTACATTAAAAGGTGAAAAATGCTATAGAGAAAAGTAAAACCAGAAAGGGATAAAGAGTGCAGTGGGTTGGCAGGTTGCAATTTTAAGTAATTATTAGGAAAGGCCTCACCAAGATGAGGTGACTTTTGAGTAGACACTTGCAAGAGATGAAACCAGTCATGCAGAACATCTGGATACCCAGATGTTCAATGGAAAAATATTCCATGTAGAGGAAAAGTAATTACTGAGTCCTTGAAGTAGGGCTCTTCCTGCTGTATTTGAAGTACAATAGGAAGGTCAGTGTGGCTGGAGTAAAGTAAGAAGAGGAGCAGAAGGAGATGAGGTGAGAAAGACTGGAGAGAGGAAGGGGTTTTGTATGGCTTAGAGACCATTGTGTGACTAGGTTGTTACTATGAGATAGGAAGCCACTGGCAGGCTTTGAGCAGAGTTACAATCTGAGTTATGTTATAAAAGGATCACTTTGACTGGTATGGTAGACTGAACGGGCCCAGAGCAAAAGCAGGGAAACTAGTCAGAGGGCTATTGGAGTGAACCAGGCTTGAGAGATAATGTGGCTTGGACCAAGTGGCAGGCAACAGAAAATTTAGAATAAGGGGAAAAAAGGAGTAAGAAAGTAATTTGGTACTTTGAAGATAGACCTACTAACATTGACTGACAGATTATAATTAAGGTATAAGGGAGAGGGAGACATCAAGGTTTTCGGCCTAATTGTAAAAAGAGGTTGTCAAGAAATAAGATGGGGAAGACTGTGAGAAGATCCAGGTTTTGGAGGAAAGCTCGAGTTTAGTATGTTTGGTATGTTTCAGACATCCAGGTCCAGAGGTTGAGTTTGTTATTAGAATTAGATATATGAGGCCAGGTGCAGTGGCTCACACCTGTAATCCCAGTGCTTTGGGAGGCCGAGGCAGGCGGAGCACGAGGTCAGTAGTTCAAGACCACCCTGGCCAACATGGTGAAACCCTGTCTCTAATAAAAATACAAAAATTGGCTGGGCATGGTGGTGGGTGCCTGTAATCCCAGCTACTCAGGAGACTGAGAGGCAGGAGAATTGTTTGAACCCAGGAGGCAGAGGTTGCAGTGAGCCAAGATCACACAATTGCACTCCAGTCTGGGTGACAGGGTGAGACTCCATCTCAAAAAAAAAAAAAAAAATGAGAGAGAGAGTCTGGAGCTGATGAGAAAGAAATACAGATTTGGAAGTGTGCGGTACATATACTGCACACTGAAAGCCTTGAGATTAAAGATCACCAGGTAGTGAATATAGACACAAAAAGAGAAGAGGTCCCAAAACTGAGCCCTGTCCTTGAACATTTCATTACTGAGAAATTCAAGAGATTGAAAAAGAATCATAAAAGGAGACAAAATGAGCAGGCAGTAAAGTGGGAGGGAAGTGTGGAGTCTAGGGGAGTAGACTCCTGGCAGCCAGATGAAAAAGTGTTTCTTGGGGAGTAAGTTACAACATCATCAGTGGTATGATAGCTCATCTTCAAATAAGATGAAGACCGAAATGTATTTGTGGATAATTTTTGGGCCATTGGATATCAGTTGTTTATATCTTTTTATTTTATTTTATTTATTTATTGAGATAGAGTCTCACTCTGTCACCCAGGCTGGAGTACAGTGGTGCAGTCTCAGCTCACTGCAACCTCTGCCGCCCAGGTTCAAGCAATTCTCCCGCCTCAGCCTTCTAAATAGCTGGGGTTACAGACACCTGTCACCATGCTCAGTTAATTTTTGTATTTTTAGTAGATACGAGGTTTCACCGTCTTGATGGGATTACAGACTTGAGCCACCACACCCAGCCTCTTTCAGATTTTTAGAAATTTACTTTTCTGGTTATTTCACATCTGTTTCTATCCCTAAATAAGTGATTCCTGATTTGGGAGAAGGAATGGAGTTAAGAAGACAGAATTTAGAAGGACGGTTCAGAGTGATAGCAAGGGAGAAAGGCTTAGGTGTTTGGAGGCCTTGAAAGTGCTGGTATTAGGCCGGGTGTGGTGGCTCACACCTGTAATCCTAGCACTTTGAGAGGCTGAGATGGGTGGATTGCTTGAGCCCATGAGTTTGAGACCAGCCTGGCCAACATGGAGAAACCCCATCTCTACCAAAAATACAAAAATTAGTTGGTCATGGTAGCATGCCTGTAGTCCCAGTTATTTGGGAGGCTGAGATAGGAGAATCATCTGAGCCTGGGAAGTCAAGGCTGTAGTGAGCCAAGATCACACCACTACACTACAGCCTAGGCAACAGAGCAAGACTCTGACTAAAAAATAAAATAAATAAAAAGAAAAAGTGAAGTGCTGGCATTATTCAACTTCTTGACCTGAGTGGTAGTGATGTATAATTATTCCTTAAACTGTACTTATGTGCTTTGTGCACTTTTTGGTATGTATGTTAAATACAAAAAGGAGGAGGAGAATAGATGTGTTTAAACATAAATTAGCTTTCTTTGTTGTTGGTTACTAACTTTGAAGGTTTTCTTCTGTGCATAGTAACATTGTGCAGAATTATTTTTTAAAAGTTCAATCTCCATTGATGCATATATTCTAAAATCATTTTGTTTTTTTTTCTGTAAGCCCTTATGCAACTGGAGTCTATTTTAAGGAACATCATAAAAGAACGAAAAGGAAGGAACCTCAGTCAACATGTTTTCATTGACTCCTTAGTACAGGGGAACCTTAATGACCAACAGGTGATGTAATTGTTAAATGTCTATCGGTAAAAATAAGCCACAGCAAGGCACAGTGGCTCATGACTACAGTCCCAGCTACTTGAGAGGCTACGGTGGGAGGATCACTTGAACCCAGGAGATCAAGGCCAACTTAGACAATATAACAAGACGCCATCTATAAAAACTAATAATAATAATAATAATACATATACAGAGTGTGCTTTTCATTCACTTTAATCCTGATACTGGCTTAAAGAAGCATTGTACATCTTTTTTTTTTTTTTTTTTTTGAGATGGAGTCTCACTGTTGCGAGACTAGAGTATAGTGGCGCGATCTTGTCTTACTGCAACATCTGCCTCCCAATTTCAGATGATTCTCCTGCCTCAGCCTTTCAAGTAGCTGGGACTGCAGGCACACGCCACCACACCCAGCTAATTTTTTTGTATTTTTAGTAGAGATGGAATTCCACCATGTTGGCCAGGATGGTCTTGATCACTTTGACCTCATGATCTGCCCTCCTTGGCCTCCCAAAGTGTTGGGATTACAGGCATGAGCCACCATGCCTGGCTGCATTGTGCATCTTTTATTGTACATCATGGGTAGTACAAGTACTTGGTCTCTATTATTTCACTCTTTGAGGCAGCTGTATATTATTTAGTATTATTAAATTGTCCCTGAATTACAAAAGAGGAGAAGGACTTGTGTTAGTTGTATTAGACTAAATCACTTTACCTACATGACCAGGTATAGCATTGTGTCTTGTTCACAATACCGCCAGCATACCACTGCATTTGTGGTATTCTCAGGCCAATGAGGTGAATCGTTATTGTCACACCTCTTAATTGTGGGAATCTTCTGCCCCACTCTACATGTGCAAGACCTTGTAGCCAGAAGTAGTTTGGTATATGTTGGTGTAGACATTGAATTAGGCTTCCAGGAGAGTGATGAGATCTTCTGTCCTATTTCTGAGGCTTCATTGCTGTTTACCAGGCTAAGCCAGAAAAATAGGACTCAGTTTATTTGCTACAGTATATCATGAACCAGTAATATTCACAGCAGATACCCTGATTTGATCATTACAAGTTGGATAAATGTACCAAAATATCATTTGTACTCCCAAAATACATACAACTGTAATATATCAATTTTAAAAATATTTTTAAAAAGCAGTGTGATATTTAGCTTGGTATTGACATTATACAGATTTTTATTTTTTGTTTTAATGAAAACATCATAATGAAATAATGTACTTTTTTTTTTCATTGACCCTAATTTTATGCTCTAGATTATTTTAGCAGGGCCTAATATAGGCTACCTTACATTTTTCACACTTTCTAAACTTAGTTTTGTTTCCTAGATCCTAGAAGACAGTATGATATTTTCTCTGGCCAGTTGCATAATAACTGCAAAATGTAAGTATAAATTGATTTCTTTTTCAGATGGATTACTAAATATACAGGCTGAGCAGTGGCTTATACCGGTAATCCCAACACTTTGCCAGGCTGAGGTACAAGGACTGCTTGAGGCCAGCCCAGAAAACAGAGACCATCTCTCTACAAAAAAAAAATTAATTGAGCATGATGACCTGTGTCTGTAGTCTCAGCTACTCAAGAGGCTGAACGAGGAGGATGGAGGCTACAGTGAGCTATGAATGCACCATTACACTCCAGCCTGAGCAACAGAGTGAGACCCTGTCTCAAAAAAAACCAAACAATGGCTGGGCGCGGTGGCTCATGCCTGTAATCCCAGCACTTTGGGAGGCCGAGGCAGGCAGGTCACGAGGCCAAGAAACCGAGACTGTCCTGGCCAACATGGTGAAACCCCATCTCTACTAAAAAATACAAAAATTAATGTGGTGGCACGTGCCTATAGTCCCAGCTACTCGGGAGAATTGCTTGAACCCGGGAGGCAGAGGTTGCAGTGAGCCGAGATTGCGCCACTACACTCCAGCCTGGCGACAGAGCAAGACTTTGTCTCAAAAAGAAAAAAAAAACAAGGCCAGACATGGTGACTTACACCTGTAACCCCAGCACTTTGGGAGGCTAGGGCAGGAGGATCGCTTGAGCCCAGGAATTCAAGACCAGGCTGGGCAACATAGTGAGACCTTGTCTCTGCTAAAAATAAACACTAGCAGGGTGTGGTGGCACACGCCTGTGGTTCCAGCTACTCAGAAAGCTGAGGCAAGATCACTTGAGCCCAGCAATGAGTGATGATCGCACCATAGCATTTCAGGCTGAGCAACAGACCAAGACTGTCTGAAAGCAAACAAAAATAAAACACTGTTTAGAGGACTTCTTTATAATTTATTTTCCCTCTTTTTTAGTCTTGTTTTAAAGAGCTCACTCACATAGGTGCTTTTTTTTCTTAGCCCCAAGTGCTTAAAGCCACTTCTGAAAATTGCCATAAATTTCTTGACACATTTTATGGCTTGCGAATTCTAGTTAGTTCCTTTAAAACGAACTGCTATCGACGCCTTTCCAACCATAACAGTGAGCTTTTTCATTTTCTGCTGCTGCTTTTCACATTGACTCCAAGTCAGTCTGCTATTATTAAGGTCTACCAACAGAGTATATAGGCCACAGAGAAGATTTAAAAGAACTCTCATTGGAATTCAAAGTGATTTTTATGTAAAATTGTAAAGTATTTGTTATGTTTCTAGGTTCTCTTCCTGGTTTTTAGATTGGTGGTATACCATTCATTTATATAGTATTTATAAAAATACTTCTATAGGCATAAAAATATACTAAGATAAAAATGCTTAAAGGAAATATTAGGGGGCCAGACAAGGTGGCTCACACCTATAATGCCAGCATTCTGGGGGGCCAAGGTAGATGAACCACTGGAGCCCAGGAATTTGAGACCAGCCTGGGCAACAGGGTGGAACCCCATCTCTACAAAAAATTCAAAAATTAGCCAGGCCTGGTGGTGCACAGCTGTAATCCCAGTTACTTGGGAGGCTAAGGTGGGAGGATCACTTAAGCCCAGGAGATTGAGGTTGCAGTAAGCCATGATCGCACCACTAAACTCTAGACTGTGTGACAGATTGAGAGCCTGTCAAAAAATAAAAGGAGGCTGGGCGCAGCAGCTCATGCCTGTAATCCCAGTACTTTGGGAGGCCAAGGCAGGTGGATCATGAGATCAGAAGTTCAAGACCAGCCTGGCCGACATAGTCAAACCCTGTCTGTCTCTACTAAAAACACACAAATTACCCGGGCATGGTGGCATGCACCCGTAGTCCCAGCTACTCAGGAGGCTGAGGCAGGAGAATTGCTTGAACCTGGGAGGCAGAAGTTGCAGTGAGCCGAGATTGTGCCACTGCACTCCAGCCTGGGTGACACAGCAAGACTCTGTCTCAAAAAAAAGAAAAAAAAGCATTAGGACATCAATTTAAATTTTAGAAAATTTATGTTTACTTGAAGGATTTCATTTATATTCCTTAATGTTTAAGGAAGCTTTCTTTAAAATGATGAGTACAGGCCAGGTGCAGTGGCTCATGTCTGTAATCCCAGCACTTTGGGAGGCCGAGTCGGGTGGATCATAAGGTTAGGAGTTCAAGACCAGCCTGGCCAAGACAGTGAAACCTTGTCACTACATCAATACTAAAAATAGAAAAATTAGCTGGGCATGGTGGCCGGAGCTTGTAATCCCAGCTACTTGGGAGGCCAAGGCAGGAGAACTGCTTAAACCTGGGCGGCAGATGTTGCAGTGAGCCAAGATCGTGCCATTGCATTCCAACCTGGACCACAGAGTGAGACTCCATCAAAAAAAAAGATGAGTACAAATATAAACTTCCCATAAATGTTTCTTCTTTGACATGTAGAAATGTCCAGATACTATAGATTAAATTGCATTTAGGTAAGCATATGTCAAAAATAATCAAGCTTTTTTTTTTTTTAGATGGAGTTTTGCTCTTGTCAGCCAGGCTGGAGTGTCTCAAAAAAAAAAAAAGAAGTATTAGGATATCAATTTAAATTTTAGAAAATTTATGTTTATTTAAAGGATTTCATTTATATTCCTTAATGTTTAAGGAAACTTTCTTTAAAAGTCTGGAGTGCAGTGGCACAATCTCAGGTCACTGCAACCTCCACCTCCTCAGTTCAAGCAATTCTCTTGCCTCAGCCTCCTGAGTAGCTGGGATTACAGGCTTCAAGTGAGCCATAATCACTGCCACTGTACTCCAGCCTGGGTGACAGAGTGTGACCCTATCTTTAAAAAAAAAAAAAACCCACAAACAAAAAGTCAATGTGAGTGTTTTTTTTTTTTTGAGACGGAGTCTCACTTTGTTGCCCAGGATGGAATGCAGTGGTGTAATTGTGGCTCACTGCAACCACTACCTCCCGAGTTCAAGCGATTCTCCTGCCTCAGCCTCCCAAGTAGCTGGGACTACAGGCGCCCGCCACAACACCTGGCCAATTTTTTGTGTTTTTAGTAGAGAGGAGCTTTCACTATTTTGGCCAGGCTGGTCTGAAACTCCTGACCTTGTGATCCACCCACCTCAGCCTCCCAAAGTGTTGGGATTACAGGCGTAAGCCGCCGTGCCCAGCCAATGTGAGATTATTAAGTTCATATTGTTTTATTATTATTATTATTATTATTATTATTATTATTTTGAGACAGAGTCTTGCTCTGTCTCCAGGCTGGAGTGAAGTGGCGCAATCTCAGTTCCCTGCAATCTCCACCTCCTGGGTTCAAGCAATTCTCCTGCCTCAGCCTTCTGAGTAGCTGGGACTACAGGCACGCGCCACAATGCCCAGATAATTTTTGTATTTTTAGTAGAAAAGATGGGGTTTCACCATGTTGGCCAGGATGGTCTAAATCTCTTGACCTCATGATCTGACCACCTCAGCCTCCCAAGTGCTGGGATTATAGGCATGAGACAGTGCGCCTGGCCTGTTACATTAATTTAAGTGATAATATAGTCAAGCAGAGTAGATGAGTGACTGCTGTATGAAATCTTTATGGTAAATCCTTCAGTTGTATATTACTGTATGTTGTAAAGTTATATAACATACATATTGTGTACTATACACTTGTTAAATAGAAATTCTCTAATTCACTCAAAGCCATGATGAAAAGTCATATGTAGGGAAAAGTTAAGGATAGGCAGTCACTCATGTGTTTTGTGAACTCTGGATGTAAGAAAACTAATCAGAGTAATTGAGTACCAGGTAACTACTGATTTTAATAACTGAGTAATAAGGTGAATGAGGCAAATATTTTTAAATAAATCAACTTTGAGATAAGTTTAAGTTAACCCTTAGCTCAGGAAGGAGATCATTGGTAAGTAAAGGTACAGGTTACTATAAGCATATTTAAAAGTATTTGACACAGGAACAGTCAAGCTACAGATCATGTCAGCTCAAATGTATTCTAGGGAAAGAGACAGTGTATATGTTTAGAAGTTTCCATTATTTTAGTAGTTATAATCCCAGTGGATTACTAAAGGAAATATAACTACTATTTTTCCTCTGTTTTTTTCTCATCATGTAATTGCTTTACATTTTTATTTCCTCAGTGAATATAATCCATAAACCAGTTTAAGTTAAAGTAAGCCATGAGCCAATGATCTTCCCATTTTGGTGTTTATCAAAATAAATGTGATATTGCATTTGTTAAAAGTACAGATGTTTACATGAGAGGACACAAGGAAAGTGACAAAAATAAAAAAAAGTACAGATGTTTGGACATAACCACAACATACAGAATCAGAATATGTGAATGTGAGGTTATAACATCAGCCATTTTCCAGGTTTATGAGAAACACTTTTCTTTTTTGAGACAGGGTCTCACTTGCCTAGGGTGGAATGCAGTGGCACAGTCACAGTTCACTACAGCCTCAACCTCCTGGGCAGAAGCGATCATCCCATCTCAGCGTCCCAAGTAGCTAGGACTACAGGCACATACCACCATGCCCAGTTGACTTTTGAATATTTCGTAGAGATGGAGTTTTGCCATATTGCCTAGACTAGTCTCGAACTCCTCAGCCCAAGCAATCTGCCAGCTTCAGATCCCCTCCCAAAATGATCCCCTCTGCATGATCTCTCCCTAAGTACTGGGGTTACAGGTGTGAGCCACTATGCCTGGTTGAGAACCACTGTTCTAAGCAATAACCAGTCACAAATTTTGAGCCAGTGTATTTACCATCACAAGTAAAAATTATAGAATATTAATTTATCGATAAATCTGCTGGCTTGATTTGTCTGAATCATTTCATTGGTGCTCCTAAGTGAACTCTAAATCAGCTTTTTGTATAAGATTGAGTGAATCAGATAATCCATTGCAGTAGCCAACATTGAGCATTCCTACAGATATGAAATTTATCTATTATCATAACTATTGTACCTAAGGTAAAATTAAGTGGCTCCAGTTACTTACCAGTTTTATGAAAGGATGCATCTGGGCCAGGTGAGGCGGCTCAAACCTGTAATCCCAGCACTTTGGGAGGCCGAGGCAGGTGGATCACCTGAGGTCAGGAGTTCAAGACCAGAAACCCTGTCTCTACCAAAAAATACAAAACTTAGCTGGGCATGATGGCAGGTGCCTGTAATCCCAGCTACTAGGGAGACTGAGGCAGGAGAATTGCTTGAATCTGGGAGGCAGAGATTGCAGTGAACTGAGATCGTGCCATTGCACTCCAGCCTTAAGACTTTGTCTCAAAAAAAAAAAAAAAATAGAAAGGAGACATCTAGATTGTACTATGTCTGTTGGAGGGCATTCTGTAAATATTGATGTTCCATTCAGTGAGATGCAAACCCTGTGAAGAATTTTACTTTTTGGTAGCAGTTATGTATCTTCTATATTATAGGGGAAAAGAAGCAAATTACAGAATCCCCAAACCAAATAATTAGTTTTTTCTTACTCTATACCCAAGCCATGAGTTAGCTATTTTCATTGTTATTCATATAATGTTTCACCTAGTGTGTACCTGGGCAATCTGTTTTTTAACCACCTCTGAAGAAGTTCAAAAAAAATTATATGAAGAGATAGACCAAGTTTTTGGGAATGGTCCTATTACTCCAGAGAAAATTGAGCAGCTCAGGTAAGAACACAATAAAAAGAAGAGGATATTATAAAAAGGTAAATTTGAACTGATTTATCTAATTTAATGCTAATGTTACTATCTGAAAGCTATATATTTTTATGGAACTTAAAGAAAATATAAAGAAAACATTAAAATATGTAGATTTTATTAGGTAAATGAATCTGCTTTTTAAAATCATAAGGTAGCGTGGGAAACATTTAACTTAGCCTGTGACATAGTGCTAACGAAGTCAAGCAAGTATGACACCCATACTTTGTTGATGGCAATAAAAACTAGTACAGCCACATTAGATGATAATATAGTAGGCTTGGCCGGGTGTGGTGGCTCATATCTGTAATCCAGCACTTTGGGAGGCTGAGACAGGTGGATCACATAAGCCCAGTAGTTCCAGCCTGGACAGCATGGCAAATCCCCCTCTCTACAAAAAATACAAAATATCAGCTAGGTGTGCTGGCACAAGCCTGCGGTTGGAGCTACTCAGGAGGCTTAAGATGGGAGGATCACCTGAGCTCAGAAGGTCGAGGCTACAGTGTTTGCATTACTGCATTCCAGCCTGGGTTATAGAGTGAGACCCTGTCTCAAAAGAAAAGAAAACGATATGGTAGGCTCATAAAAAGTTATACATACACTTATCCTATGATCCAGCAGTTCCACTCCTTGGAATTTCAATCCAAGATAAATGAAAACATGACTACACAGAGACCTGTGTGCAAATATTCATAGCAGTTTATTCAAAATAGCCCAAAATTGGAAGCAGTTCAGATGTTCAGCTGGTAAATAGATAAACAAATTGTGGTGTGACCATACCATGGAATACTACAAGTAATAAAAAGGAACACCATATCAATACATACAAGGTATGTTGTGTGTAACAATAAGATAAATCTAAGTGATTTAAGTGAAAGAAGTGAAACAAAATACTGGCTACTATATGATTTCATTTATGTGAAATTCCAGAAAAGGCAAACTATGGTGATAAAAAGCAGATTGATATTGGGGTATAGGAATGGGGACAGGATCAACTACAAAGAGGCATGAGGAAAATTTTTAGAATGAAGAAACTGTCTTACATATTGTTTGTAGTTATAATTGCACAATTGTATACCATTACTAAAATTCACACTGTACAGGTAGAATGGGTTAATTTTATGGCATATAACTATACCTTAATTAAAGGTGTTTTTTTTTTTATTGCAACTGTGACCGCTTAGGAGTTAGAAGTTGGAGACTGACTGGCAAGCAATCCTACCTTGGAGCATAAAATCAGCTATAGAAAAGATAAAGTGGCTGGGCGCATTGGCTCACAACTGTAATCCCACCAATTTGGGAGGCCAAGGCGAGAGGATCACCTGAGTCCAGGAATGCAAGACCAGCCAGAGCAACATGGCAAAACCCCATTTAAAAAATATATATACAAAAAAATAACCAGGCATGGTAGTGCATGCCTATAGATAGTTCCAGCCACAAAGTAGGCTGAGACAGGAGAATCAGAGCCCAGAAGTCCAGGATGTAGTGAACTATTGTCGCACCACTACACTCCATCCTGGATGACAGTGAGGCCCTACCTCAAAAAAAAAAAAGGCAAGAAAACAAAAGATAGCCACTGGAAAGAACTGGGAGGCTTTTAGATGTTGGAAGTTTTATCTATTACATTGAATATAACTTACTTTAAAAGTAGTACTAGTTGTCTTTTGAAGTTTTTATCATGTAGAAATATATGAAGTAGAAGGTGAAGGTCCTTTGTAAATGTACGCTTAAGCACATAACAATTGGGCTGGGTGCAGTGACTCGTGCTTATGATCCCAGCAATTTGGGAGACCGAGGCTGGAGGATTGCTTGAGCCCAGGAGATTGAGACTATTCAGAGCAACATAGTGGGAGCCTGTTTCTACAAAATATTTAAAAATTAGCCAGACATAAAGGTATGTGCCTTTGGTGACAACTACTAGGGAGGCTGAGGTGGGAGGATCACTTGAGCTTGGGAGATTGAGGATGCAGCATGACAGAGTGTCACTGCACTCCAGCCTGCGCAACAGAGCAAGAACCTGTCTCTTAAAAATAAATAAGTAGGCCGGGCGTGGTGGCTTAAGCCTGTAATCCCAGCACTTTGGGAGGCCGAGGCGGGTGGATCACGAGGTCAAGAGATCGAGACCATCCTGGTCGACATGGTGAAACCCCGTCTCTACTAAAAATACAAAAAATTAGCTGGGCATGGGCGTGCCTGTAATCCCAGCTACTCAGGAGGCTGAGGTAGGAGAATTGCCTGAACCCAGGAGGCGGAGGTGGCCGTGAGCCGAGATGGCGCCATTGCACTCCAGCCTGGGTAACAAGAGTGAAAACTCCGTCTCAAAAATAAATAAATAAATAAATAAACAATATTAAAAATTTTAAACTCTCTGTACAGCTTTTGAAGCATTTCAAAATGCTTCAGAGTTTTGGGGTGGGGTTTATTTTAATTATTGGTGATGGTTTGATTTTTTTTTTTTTTTTTTTTTCAGCCTGTGTTTCTTTCTCTCTCTCTTTTTTTTTTGAGATGCAGTCTCTGTCACCCAGCAGGATTACAGTGGTGTGATCTCTGCTGCTCACTGCAGCCTATACCTCCTGGGTTCAAATGATTCTCATGCCTCAGTCTTCCAAGTAGTTGGGATTACAGGCATGTACCACTACGCCCAGCTAATTTATATATACATACATATATATATATATATATATATATATATATTTTTTTTTTTTTTTTTTTGAGACGGAGTTTCGCTTTTGTTACCCAGGCTGGAGTACAATGGCGCGATCTCAGCTCACCGCAACCTCCGCCTCCTGGGTTCAAGCAATTCTCCTGCCTCAGCCTCCCGAGTAGCTGGGATTACAGGCACGCACCACCATGCCCAGCTAATTTTTTGTATTTTTAGTAGAGATGGGGTTTCACCATGTTGACCAGGATGGTCTCGATATCTTAACCTCGTGATCCACCTGCCTTGGCCTCCCAAAGTGCTGGGATTACAGGCTTGAGCCACCGCGCCCAGCCTAATTTTTATATTTTTAGTAGAGACAGAGTTTCACCATGTTGGCCAAGCTGGTCTGGAACTCCTGACCTCAGGTGCCTCTGGCTCCCAAAGTGCTGGGATTAAAGGCTTGAGCCACCACGCCCAGCCAAGCCTGTGTTTATTTCTCTACAAAGCCCTTTCCCTAGAGTAGCTGCTTCTGCCTTATGTTCCAATAATACCCTGAACTTCCTTTATCATAACATGTACTATGTTTGTTTAATTGTTCATCCTTTATTTCCCATCCAGTCTATCCTCCCTGCCAACTAGATTCTGAACCCCTTTGATGGTGTATCTCTTGTTCATTGTTGTAGCTCAGTATCTGGCACAGTGTTTCACATGCAGTAGGTATGCAATAAATATTTGTACAGAGGAAAGGACGGAAGAATGTTTCCCCTTTTGATTTTGTTGTTTTTGATGTTATAAACAATTAACACTTCTGTGCTTATATCTTTGCTAATATTTTCAAGTATTTCTGTATAATAAGGTCCTAGAAGTAAGCTTCTAGTTGAAGGATGTATGGAGTAAGACAGTGGTTAAGATTAGAAGCCATAGAGTAAGACATGCATGTATTTGAATCCTGTCAACACAGCTTACCTGCTATGTGATCTTAAATAACTGCCTCTGATTTTAATCTGTAAAATTAGAGTAATAATAGCACCCATGGGTTTCTTGTAAGGATTCAATAAGATCCTGTATATAAAGTATTTAAGTGAACTGACTCATAGCAAGATTGCAATACATTTTAGTTTTTATTCTTCTTATTGTGATGCACACTTAAGAGTTTGATGTATATTGCCAAATTATGCTTCTGAGAGGCTGTACCAGTTTATACTGCCACCACCTGGATATGAGAATGTCTTTTTCTCTTTTTCTGGTAATATCTGCTGTCATTCTTTTTCATCTTTGTCAATCTGGCAAGTAAAAAAAAAAAAATGCTATGATTGCCAATCTTTAAGTTGTTAATGAAGTTGAGTATCATTTCATGTGTCTTTAGGCCATTTGTATATTTTTGTGAATTGCTTTTTGTTTCTATGGGATTGTTGGATTATTTTAATTACATTTGAAATGTTTTTATATGTTAAGGATATATTTAGTGAAAATATTTTTCTCAGTTTTCTTTAGAAATATGCAAACAAAATATTTCTCTAGTTAGGTTATTTATATTTTTATAATTTTCTGTCAATGTGTCATGCTAAAAATAACCTTTTTAAAAATTATAGAAACAATATTGAGTTTTTTTCTGATACTTTTAGAAGTTTTTTATTTGTTTACATCTTTATCTACCTAGAGTTATATACAGATTTATAACAAATCTTACAAAAATGTGTTTATTTTAAAATTTACAAAATGTTAAGTCTTTATATACCTCTAGTATATAACATATCTTTAAGCTGATAAGAATTATGATGGGACTATTTCAAGTTGGGAATGTTTGAGAAGTTGTTGAAGAATGTTTTTTAAATGTATGTACATTTCTAACTGCCTCCCAAAATAAACGTCTTCAAAAAAATTTTTTTTAAACAGATATTGTCGGCATGTGCTTTGTGAAACTGTTCGAACTGCCAAACTGACCCCAGTTTCTGCCCGGCTTCAAGATATTGAAGGAAAAATTGACCACTTTATTATTCCTAGAGAGGTAGAAACATTTAATATGTTTAATTCATTCATTTATTCTTCTCATCTCTTTTGCGGGGGTGGTATGTGTGCGCGCGTGCGCGCGTGTGTGTGTGTGTGTTTAGATGGAGTTTCGCTCTTGTCACCCAGGCTGGAGTTCAAAGGTGCAACGTCGGCTCACTGCAACCTCTGCTTCCTGGGTTCAAGCGATTCTCCTGTTTCAGCTTCCCAAGTAGCAGGGATTACAGGCACCTGCTGCCACACCCACCTAATTTTTGGATTTTTGTTAGAGATGGGGTTTCACTGTGTTGGCCAAGCTGGTCTTGGACTCCCAACCCCAGGTGATCTGCCGCCCACTTCAGCCTCTAAAGTGCTGGGATTACAGGCATGAGACACCATACCCGTCCACCATAGTTTATTTAAGCAGCCCCTACTAATGGAAATTTTGATTGACATTAATTTTTTTATTATTTACTGGTACAGGTATTGAGTAGAGTCTTAGACATGGGGTTTTTGTGTCAAAGTCCTTGTGTATGTTCAATTATTATGATTTTTAGATCGGGTCTTGCTCTGTTACCAACCTCCCAGGCTCAAGTGATCCTTCCCCCTCGGCCTCCCAAGTAGCTGCACTAAATTTTTTTATTTTTTATAAAGACAGGGTCTCACTATGTTGCCCAGGCTCAACTCCTGGGCTCAAGTGATCCTCCCACCTTAGCCTCCCAAAGTGGTGTGATTATAGGCATTAGCCACTGCACTGGGCCATGTGTATGTTAAATTTAAAATGTCCCCTAAAAAGCATTTTATACTTTTAGCAACAATGAGAATGTTTTTTCTTTCCAAATCTTCACCACCTCTGAATTTGAGTCTTATGTATATTTTATGAATCTTGCTTTTCCCTGATCATTGGAGATATTGAACAACTTTTCATACATATATAAACAGTTTGTATTTTTTTGTGAATTGTCTTTATAACTTTCACTCATTTTTCTAGTGAGCTTATATGTATTTTTGTATATTATACAAACTATGTTATATGGCAAATAATTTTTTCCTATTTTACTGTTGCTTAATTGTTTTTTTTATTGTTTTTAAATTGGATGTAGATTTTAAATTTTCATATAATTAAATCCATTATTCCTTTGTGGTTTCTTCTATTATTTTAAATTATTATTTTGTTTTCGCTATCTATATAAAAAGAAGTTTCGGATAAGTTGACTTTCTGTGGGTCATTTTACCTCTGTTAATCCTTGACTAATTGGATTATTTTTCACAGACCCTCGTCCTTTATGCCCTTGGTGTGGTACTTCAGGATCCTAATACTTGGCCATCTCCACATAGGTATGAAATATTTGTCATTGTCTTTGTGACTGTCATTTTTTATGTTTGCACATTTTGCAATCCTTTTCTAAGTTTTGAGGAGAAAATTCAGTATGTAGCAATGATACAAGAGAAGAAAACCAGTGAATCCCCTTTTCTTCTCTTTCTTATGGGAAGATCTCTTACTACAGGGTCTCACTCTGTCACCCAAGCTGGAATGTAGTAAGCAGTGTGATCACTGCTCACTATGGCTTTGACCTCTCTGACTCAAGCCATTGTTCTGCCTCAGCCAGCTGAGTAGCTGGGACCACAGGTGCATGCTGCCATGCCTGATTAACTTTTGTGCTTTTTGTAGCGGTGGGTTTCACCATGTTGACCAGGCTGGTCTCGAACTCCTGAGCTCAAGCCACCCTCCTACTTCTGCCTCCCAATAAGTGGTGGGATTACAGGCATGCACCACCGAGCCTGACCTGCATCCCCTTTATATCTTCTGTTCACTGCTTTTTCTCTTATGTGAATCTGCTATCTGGTGTTCTTTGTCTCTTTCATTACCACTTTTATACTAAGTGAAAAGTAAGATTAACATCTGTTTTAAGAAAATGAAAACAGGCCGGGCGCAGTGGCTCACGCCTGTAATCCCAGCACTTTGGGAGGCCAAGGTGGGCGGATCACCTGAGGTCGGGAGTTCAAGATCAGCCTGACCAACATGGAGAAACCCCATCTCTACTAAAAATACAAAATTAGCCGGGCGTGGTGGCACATGCCTGTAATCCCAGCTACTGGGGAGGCTGAGGCAGGAGAATCACTTAAACCCAGGAGGCAGAGGTTGCGGTGAGCCGAGATCATGCCATTGCACTCCAGCCTGGGCAACAAGAGCAAAACTCTGTCTCCAAAAAAAAAAAGAAAATGAAAATGAAAACAGATTTTGTCTTTTTTTCAGTCTGTTTTTCTGTTCTTTATTTTTATTGCTTCTCTTTTTGCTTTTTTAAAATTTATTTATTTATTTATTTATTTTGGGGGGGGAGGAATGCAGGAAGGGAGGGAAGAAGGACGGTAGGGAGGAAGGAGGGGATGAAGGATGGAAGGAAGGAAGGAAGCGGGGAGGGAGGGAGGGAGGGAAGGGAAGGAAGGAAATCAAGCAATGAGAGAGACATTGCCGACCTGGATCTAGAGGTTTACAAGTTGATTTCTTTTTTTTTGAGAGAAGGAAAGAAAAAAAAAATAAGTAAAGGAAAGGAAGAAAGAGGAAGAAAAAGAGGGAGAGTAAATGGAAATATTGCTTTATTTTGAAAAAAATTGGGTATTAATAATGGCCAATCAATGTTTCATTTAAACTTATGGCTGGGTGTGATGTGGTATTGACAAGAATGTATATTTTGTGTATTTGAAGTGGAGAGCTCTATAAATATTTATTAAGTTTACTTGTTCCGGATCTGAGTTCGAGTCCTTGATATCCTTATTAATTTTCTGTCTCATCGAATCTAAGTCTCGTATCTGGGTGTTAGGATCATTAGCTCTTATTGTTGCATTGATCCTTTTATCACTATATCTTTGTTGCTTTAAAATCTATTTTATCCGATATGAGAATTGCAACTCCTGCTTTTTATTTATTTATTATTTATTTTTGCTCTCCATTTGGTTTGTAAATCTTTCTCCATCCCTTTGTTTTGAGTCTTTGTGTATCCTTGCATGTGAAACAGGTCTGGATGTAACATGCCATTGGGTTTTGGCTGTGTCTTTTGATTGGGGGATTTAGTCAATTTAAATTTAGGGTTACTGCCATTTGATGTTGACTGGCTGTTTTATCCATTCATTGGTGTAAATTCTTCTTTATGTTGGTGCTCTTTACTTTTTGGTGTATTTTTAGAAAGGCTAATACTGGTTGTTTCTTTCTATGTGTAATGCTTCTTTCAGAAGCTCTTGTAAAGCAGGCCTGGTGGTAATAAAATCTCTGAGTTCTTGCTTGTTCATAAAAGATTTTATTTTTCCTTCAGTTGTGAAGCTTAGTTTGGCTGGATATGAAATTCTGGGCCGAAGGTTCTGTTCTTTGAGGATGTTGAATATTGGCCCCCACTCTCTTCTGGCTGGTAGAGTTTCTGCTGAGAGATCTGCTGTAAGTCTGATAGGCTTGCCTTTGTGGGTAACCTGACCTTTCTCTCTGGCTGCCCTTAGTATTTTCTCCTTTGTTTCAACCCTGGTGAATCTAACGATTATGTGCCTTGGGGTTGCTCTTCTTGAGGAATATCTTTGTGGTGTTCTCTGTATTACCTGGGGTTGAATGTTGACCTGCTTTGCTAGTTTAGGAAAATTTTCCTGAATAATATCCTGAAGGGTATTTTCCAGCTTGGATTCATTCTCTCCGTGGCATTCAGGTACACCTATCAAACGTAAATTTGGTCTTTTCAACATAGTCCCACATTTCTTGAAGACTTTGCTCATTCCTTTTTATCCTTTTTTCTCTAATCTTTTCTTCACGTTTTATTTCATTAAGTTGGACTTTGACCTCTGATACCCCTTCTTCTGCTTGAACAATTCAAGTGTTTAAACCTGTGCATACTTCTCGGAGTTCCTGTATTGTATTCTTCAGTTCCATTAATTCACTCATACTCCTCTCTAAGTTGTCTGTTCTCAATAGGATAGACAAACCTTTTTTCAAAGTTCTTAGTTTCTTTACGTTGTGCTACAACATGTTCTTTTAACTCACCAAAGTTTGTTATTATCCATTCCTTGAAGAGTGATTCTGTCATCAGGATGCGCTCGTTCTCCATCAAGCCTTGTTCCATTGTTGATGTGGAACTGTGATCATCTTTAGAGGGAGAGGCGTTCTGACTTTGAGTATTCTCAGCTTTTTTATGCTGGTTTCTTCCCGTCATTGTAAATTTATCCTCCTGTCGTCTTTGAAATTACCAACTTTCAGATTAGGTCTCTTGCGTGGACGTCCAGGTTGTTAGTTCCTAGGGCCAGAGCAGTGGCGTTAAAACTAATGGTGCTTTTCTGCCCAGGATTCTCCTGTCTGGCTTCCTTCTTGTGTCCGTAGTAGGCGACTCTGCCTTCTTGGGGCTCCAAATCTCGGTCAGAAGGTAAACCGGTCCCGTTTGCTCTGCGCCGAGAGCTGCCGTGCCGAGGTGCCATCACAGCCGCTGCGCCGGGCTCTGGTGTCCTGCTGGGGGCCCATGTGGGTCCTCCAAACCTGTTTACTCTATGAGAGTCGCGCTGGCCACCCGTGTGTTTCCTCCACTGGGGAATCTTCTGCTCCGTGAGCAACCAGAATTTGTCTGAAAGTGTGGCGTCCTCTAGTTCTCCGCGCCTTCCCTGAGAGCTGCAATCTCGGGATGTTAGCGATCGGCCATCTTGGATCGTTCTCCCCTTTTAATTTATTTTTTATTTCAATAGGTTTTTGGGGAACAGGTGGTGTTTGGTTACATGAATACATTCTTTGGTGGTGATTTCTTAGATTTTGGTGTACCCATCACCCAAGCAGTGTACACTGTACCCAATGTGTAGTCTTTTATCGCTCATTCCCCCACCCTTTCCTGAGTCCCTATAAAGCCCATTATATCATTCTTATTTATGCGTTTGCATCCTCATAGCTTAGCTCCCAAGAATTTCCCTTTTTAAAAAATTCAGTTTAAGTCATTTGAAAATACTTGTTTTTGAGAGGAATTTTTTTTTCTGTGGTAACATGGGTTATTTGTTTTGTTTTTATTAATATATGCATTTCTTCAATGACTTTACAGAGTGAAATTCTATAGAACAAAAATGTTTCTTAGGTTCTTTATTTCCCTTACTTTATTTTTTATTTTTATTTTTTCTTTAGAGACAGGATCTTGCTCTGCCACCCAGGCTGGAGTGCAGTGATATAAACACGGGCTCTCTGCAGCCTCAACCTCTGGGCTCAAGCAATGCACCTACCTCAGCCTCCTGAGTAACTAGAATTACAGGTGTATGCCACCACGCCTGGCTAATTTTTTTTTTTTTTTTTTTTTTTTGAGACAGAGTTTCGTTCTTGTTACCCAGGCTGGAGTGCAATGGCGTGATCTCAGCTCACCGCAGCCTCCACCTCCTGGGTTCAAGCAATTCTCCTGCCTCAGCCTCCCGAGTAGCTGGGACTACAGGCACACACCACCATGCCCAGCTAATTTTTTGTATTTTTAGTAGAGACGGGGTTTCACCATGTTGACCAGGATGGTCTCAATCTCTTGACCTTGTGATCCAGCCGCCTCAGCCTCCCAAAGTGCTGGAATTATAGGCGTGAGGCACCAGGCCCGGCCTTTTTAAAAATTTTTAATAGAGATGAGGTCTCACCGTGTTGCCCAGGCTGGTCTCAAACTCCTGGGCTCAAGCAATCCTCCCACTTTAGCCTTCCAAAGTGCTGGCATTATAGGCGTGAACCGCTATGCCCAGCCTCTCTCACCTATTAATAAATCTGAATGTAATATAATTGACAAATGTAATTTTAAGGTGGGAGCTTCCAATTTTAGGAAATAAATTTCAGTTGAAGCAGCAATATAAAATGTCTCATATATTGATAAGATGGTCTCATGTATCAGGTCTTAAATTTATTTAAATACTCATTATATGATTTATCCTTACATTTCCCAAAATAATATAAACTCATTTTATAATCTTATACCTTGGTAGATTCAAGAAATGTATTTTGCACCTATCACTTAAAAATAATAAAGTAGGCCGGGTGCTGTGGCTCATGCCTATAATCCCAGCACTTTGGGAGGCTGAGGCAGGAGAATTGCTTGAACCCAGAAGGCGGAGGTTGCAATGAGCCGAGATTGCGCCATTGCACTCCAGCCTGGCAACAGAGCAAGACTCCATCTCAAAACAAAAATAATAAAGTAAGTGCTAGTCACAGTGGCTCACATGCCTATAATCCCAGCAATTTGAGAGCTCGAGGCAGGAGGATCGCTTGAGCTTAGGAGTTCAAGACTAGCCTGGGTAGCATAGGAAGACACTGTCTGTACAAAAAGATGTTCAAAGTAGTTGGGCCTGGTGGAATGTGCCTGTAGTCACAGCTACTCAGGAAGCTGAGGTAGAAGGATAGCTTAAGCCCAGGAGGTCGAGGCTTAAGCCTCACTATAAACTATACAGGGGGCCCAATTCAAAAGGCCCTTCTAAGTGAGCCTTGAATGCGCCACTGCATTTCAGCCTGGGTGACAGAGTGAGACCCTGTCTCAAAAAATAAAGTAAGAAACAGCAATAGACTAAATATATGTTAAATAATTTGGAAACATAAAAGCAAGTGACATTTAAACATAATGTAAGATCACATTCTATTTTCAGTCAATTTTTAACTTTATTACATACTTGTGTTCTTTTAGTGTCAACACGTAAAATGCCAGTGGAGCTATATTGTGATTAACCTCAAATTTTCTTTTTAGGTTTGATCCAGATCGGTTTGATGATGAATTAGTAATGAAAACTTTTTCCTCACTTGGATTCTCAGGCACACAGGAGTGTCCAGAGTTGAGGTGAATAATAGAATGCCAGACTCTGTTCTTAGAATTTTGATAACTATTAATGAGAATGGGCAATCTATATGATAAAAGTATAATTTTTTATCTTTAGTAACTAGTTGACTTTCTTCCTGACTAGGTTTGCATATATGGTGACCACAGTATTGCTTAGTGTATTGTTGAAGAGACTGCACCTACTTTCTGTGGAGGGCCAAGTTATTGAAACAAAGTATGAACTGGTAACATCATCAAGGGAAGAAGCTTGGATCACTGTCTCAAAGAGATATTAAAATTTTATACATTTAAAATCATTGTTAAATTGATTAAGGTAAACAACCATTTAAAAATCTGTGTTGAATCCTTTTATAAACCAAGTATCACTTTGTAATATAAACACCTATTTGTACTTCATTTTATAAATTTGGATTTTTAAATATATTTTCTTAATTCATTATACACATTTATACTTACTGCACAGTATATTGATGATTTTAATGAAAAACTTTAGCTTTCTATTTTTTGTTTTATCACTTTCTGTGACATTATTTTTGCATTGTTTTTCTTAGTATGAGCTCTAAAATGAATATTCTTGAAGAAAGAAATTATTTTGCAGAAGTTGGGGAATCATGTTTGTTGAATATGCGTAAAATAGAAACATAGGCCCGGCGTAGTGATTCATGCCTGTAATCCTTGCACTTTGGAAGGCCGAGGTGAGTGGATCATCTGAGGTCAGGAGTTCAAGACCAGCTTGGCCAATATGATGAAACCCCGTCTCTACTAAAAATAGAAAAAATTAGCTGGGCATGGTGGCGCATACCTGTAATCCCAGCTACTCAGGAGACTGAGGCAGGAGAATCGCTTGAACCTGGGAGGTGGAGGTTGCAGTGAGCTGAGATTGCACCACTGCACTCCATCCTGGGCAACAAGAACAAAACTCCATCTCAAAAAAAAATAGAAACATAACCCTAAGTCATTTTTTTACTTCCATTAAATCACTTTAAAGGGAAATAAAAAGGACTTACTACAATCTTATTTCTTGGATTAATATTTTTATACTCTGGCTGTTAGTTTGTGTTTAAATCATTGTATTAGGTTTGAATAATCCACTGGGTAATGTACCTTGCATTTGCTATGTTTTTACCTCATGGCTTACACACAGTTTGAATGGTTTTGTTTCTGCATGTGTTTTATAACACCTCTTCTAAGTAACAAACTGATATTGAGGCTTATCCCTCCATATTGCCAGAAACCCTAGCAACACCATATTACTCCACTAATTCTCATTTGTGAAAATTAGAATTCCTTAACTCTCATGATAGAATTTCTAAATTTGGTATTTATTATTAAGTCATATACTAAATGTAATGAACTTGTTATTAAGAAAGAAGAGAGGAGGCTGGGTGTGGTGGCTCATGCCTGTAATCCCAGCATTTTGGGAGGCCAAGGTGGGCACATCACAAGGTCAGGAGTTCATGACCAGACTGGCCAACATGGTGAAACCCTGTCTCTACTAAAAAATATAAAAACTAGCTGGGCATGGTGGCTCATGCCTGTAATCCCAGCTACTTGGGAGGCTGAGGTAGGAGAATTGCTTGAACCAGGACCTGGGAGGCGGAGGTTGCTTTGAGCCTAGATCATGCCACTGCACTCCAGCCTGGGCTACAGAGCAACACTCCATCTCAAAAAAAAGAAAAAGAAAGAGAGGACTAACCAAAAATCAAAACCACAACCAAAGGAGGAAAAAAAAGAAAGAAAACAAAGATGGGTGAAACTATATGCAAAATGTATAACAGAGCTAATTGCCGTATTAAATATGAAGAGCTCATACAAATTGCTAAGAAAAATAGATAATAGACAAATGAAGCTGGGTGCAGTGGCTCATGACTTTAATCTCAGCTCTTGGGAGGCTGAGGTGGGTGGATCATTTGAGGTCAGGAGTTTGAGATTAGCCTGGCCAACATGATGAAACCCCATCTCAGGCCAGGCCTGGTGGCTCATGCCTGTAATCCCAGCACTTTGGGAGGCTGAGGCGGGTGGATCACGGGGTCAAGAGATTGAGACCATCCTGGTCAACTAGGTGAAACCCCGTCTCTACTAAAAATACAAAAATTAGCTGGGCATGGTGGCGCGCACCTGTAGTCCTAGCTACTCGAGAGGCTGAGGCAGGAGAATTGCTTGAACCCAGGAGTCAGAGGTTGCAGTGAGCTGAGATCGTGCCATTGCACTCCAGTCTGGGAAACAACAGTGAAACTCCGTCTCAAAAAAAAAGAAGACCAGCTTGGGCAGCATGGGGAGACCCCATCTCCACAAAAATAGAAGAAAATTACTGAGTATGGTGGTACACATGTAGTCCCAGCTATTCTGGAGGCTGAGGTAGGAAGATCGTTTGAGCCCAGGAGAGGTCAAGGCTGCAGTGATTCACGATCACATCACTGCACTCCAGACTGGGCAACAGAGCAAAACCTTGTCTCAAAAAAAAAAAGTTGGGGGGGCGGGTGGCTATTATAACAATATTTTATGTATCTTTCAAAATTACACTTTAGCACTTATAAATTATATAGCTAATACTTTATTGATAGCATTGTCCACCTTTTTTGGCTATACTATTTATGAAGGATCTTTTTTTTCTTTTTCTTTTTGAGACAGAGTTTTGCTCTTGTTGCCCAGGCTTGAGTGCAATGGTGTGATCTTGGCTCACTGCAACCTCCACCTTCCAGGTTTAGGTGATTCTCCTGCCTCAGCCTCCCGAGTACCTGGGATTACAGTCATGCACCACCACTCCCGGTTAATTTTATATTTTTAGTAGAGAGAGGGTTTCATCATGTTGGCCAGGCTGGTCTCAAATTCCTGACCTCAGGTGATCTGCCTGCCTCGGCCTCCCAAAGTGCTGGGATTAATTTTAACAGCTGAATTTCATTTGTAATTTTACTTTCAAGAATGTACTCTAGCCGGGCGCGGTGGCTCACGCCTGTAATCCCAGCACTTTGGGAGGCCGAGGCCGGTGGATCACGAGATCAAGAGATCGAGACCATCCTGGTCAACATGGTGAAACCCCATCTCTACTAAAAATACAAAAAATTAGCTGGGCATGGTGGCGTGTGCCTGTAATCCCAGCTACTCGGGAGGCTGAGGCAGGAGAATTGCCTGAACCCAGGAGGCAGAAGTTGCTGTGAGCCGAGATCATGCCATTGCACTCCAGCTTGGGTAACGAAAGCGAAACTCCATCTCAAAAAAGAAAAAAGTACTCTAGTAGGCTGAGGCAGGAGGATCACTTGAGCCCAGGAGTTGGAGACTTCAGTGAGCTGTGATCACACCACTGCACTCAGCCAAACCTGGGTGATGAAGTGAGACCTTATCTCTTAAAAAAAAAAATCTTAGTTAGTGAGTTATTTTATGTCATTTATTGGTAGATATCTAACATTTTAGACTTACTCATTACCGGTTAACATAGAATCTAATTGGATGCAGCCTTTATTTTTGAAAAAAATATTTAATTTATAGAATAACAAATTCTAAAACCTTAAGTGAAATTTATTCTTAAATCTAACTCTATCCGAAAAAAAAAATTTATCCCTTCCCACTTATTTTCTGTGGTTTTGTGTTTATTGAGCATCTTCCTTTCTTACCCAAGTACCTTGAATGTGTTGGAAATGTAGTAGAAAGTTAGAGTAGGCAGTTGATATGTAAACCAAGTGTCAGATCAGATGAGATGAAAGAGGTGGAACTTTAATGCAAGTGAGATCTGATAAACAATGATGAAGGCAAACATAGGGCAGTTGAGCCAAAGTCAGCCAGTTGGCATAATTGCCAATAAATGAGGCACTGTGTAATAACTAATAATGATTGGAATCAAGGAAAAGAGCTTAGAGGAATCAGCTAAATTGGTGTGTTTTATCCATAGTTATGTGACTAACAAAGGATTAGAAAAATCATTCTCTAGATAATTTTTTAATAAAACTATATAAAATAAATTATTCACCGTTTTTCTTCACAGTAAGAATGATAAAAATATGTGTTCTTTGTATTTATCAAGTGACTCAAATTTTGGCCACTTCAGTGTCACTGTTGGCTTCTAGAATGATTCTAGCAGAACTGAAGGTACTTAACTACCAAATGGCTTTTTAATTGATATTGAAGTAAGTAATTTAAGTTTTGTAGCTTTTGGGGTTTTAAAAACTATTTCACTGATTTTGATTTATATTCTTTTTGCTAGTTCAGAAGTGTATTGTTAAGAACATAAGCACATAACTTTTTTTCTTTTTCTTTCTTTTTTTTTTTTGAGGCAGACTATTGTGTGTTGCCCAGGCTAGAGTGCAGTGGCATGATCACAGCTTACTGTAGCCTCCACCTCTTGGGCTCTAGCAATCTTCTTACCTCAGCCTCTGGAGTAGCTGGGACTATAGGTGCATACTATCATAGCCAGCTAATTTTTTTTTTTTTTTTTTTTTTGAGATGGAGTCTTGCACTGTCTCATGGGCTGGAGTGCAACCTCCATCTCCTGGGTACAAGTGATTCTCCTGTCTCAGCCTCCCAAGTAGCTGGAATTACAGGTGCCTGCCACCATGCCCAGCTAATTTTTTGTATTTTTAGTAGAGACAGGTTTCACTCTCTTGGCCAGGCTGGTCTCAAACTCTTGATCTCATGATACACCTGCCTTGGCCTCCCAAAGTGCTGGGATTACAGGCATGAGCCACCGCGCTTGGCTAATTTTTTTTTTTTTTTTGAGTCAGGGTCTCCCTTTGTTGCTCAGGCCCAAGTAATCCTCCCATCTGGGCCTCCTGAAGTGTTGAGATTGCAGATGTGAGCCACCGCACCTGGTCCACAAAACATTTTTTTATGAACTAAGAGCTCTTTCAAACTTGTTAACAAAATTTAAGGCAGTATTAATTCTGTGCATGTGTTTGGGAAATTGAAAACTTAAATGATGCTCATTTGGCCCACAAATGTATAGTTCCATTCTTTTATATAAATAGATTCTTATTTATAACCCCTATGTCAAAATTTGTTTCTTTTATCTTAAAATAGTTTGTGTAAAAATCTTTACTGCTTTGTTATGAAATAATGTTTATTATAGAAAACACAAAAATGACAAACTCAGTCACTTATAGTCTCATTACTTGAAGTTAACCACTGTTAAGATTCTTTTTTTTTGAGACTGAGTCTTGTTCTCTGTCACCCAGGAATGCAGTGGCACCATCTTAGCTCACTGCAACCTCTGCTTTCCAGGTTCAAGTGATCCTCCCACCTCAGCCTCCCAAGTAGCTGGGATTACGAGCATGTGCCACCACACCCAACTAATATTTGTATTTTTAGTACAGATGGAGTTTCACCATGTTGGCCAGGCTGGCCTCCAACTCCTAACCTCAAGTGATCTGCCCACCTCAGCCTCCCAAAGTGCTGGGATTACAGGTGTGAGCCACCATACCCACCTCCACTGTTAAGAGTCTAATGTAGGCTGGGCACAATGACTCATGCCTATAACTCCAGCACTTTAGAAGGCCAAGGTGGCCTGATCGCTTGAGCTTAGGAGTTTGAAACCAGCCTGGGCAATGTGGGAAAACCTCGTCTCTATAAAAAAAAAAAAAAAAACAACAGAAAAACTTAGTCGGGCCCTGTGGCCACCCATAGTCTCAACTATTTAGGAGGCTGAGGTGGGGGAATGGCTTGAGCTCAGGTCAAGGCTGCAGTGAGCCATGGTAGTTCCACTGCACTCCAGCCTGGTTGACAGAGCAAGACCCTGTCTCAAAAAAAAAAGATACTGATATAGATAATTTTTATGTATATGTAATTTGTACATATTATACAAAATATTATTTGCATTTAACATATTCTGAGGCTGGGTGTGGTTGGCTCACACCTATAATCCCAGCACTTTGGGAGGCCGAGGTGGGTGAATCACCTGAGGTCAGGAGTTTGAGACCAGCCTAACCAACATGGCGAAACCCCGGCTCTACTGAATAAAAAGAAAAATACAAAAATTAGCCAGGAATGGTTGTTGGCACCTGTAATCCCAGCTACTCGGGAGGCTAAGGCAGGAGAATTCCTTCAACCTGGGAGGCGGAAATTACAATGAGCCAAGATCGCACCATTGCACTCCAGCCTGGAAGGAAAAAAAAACATATTCTGAACCAATAGTCTTTTCTACAACCAGGACATTAGTATTCTAGTCACTCTGAATGTAGGCACAGATTTTTGTCATTCTTTTCTTTTTTTTTTTTTTTTGGAGACAGAGTCTCTCTGCGTTGCCCAGGCTGGAGTCAGGTGGTGTGACTCAGCTCACTGCAAACTCTGCCTCCAGGTTCAAGCAATTCTCTTGCCTCAGCCTCCTGAGTAGCTGGGATTACAGGCATGTGCCACCATGCCTGGCTAATTTTGTATTTGTAGTAGAGATGCGGTTTCTCCATGTTGTCAGACTGGTCTTAAACTCCCAACCTCGGGTGACACCATCTCGGCTTCTCAAAGTGCTGGCATTACAGGTGTGAGCCATCGCATCCAGCCTTTTTTGTTTGTTTGTTTGTTTTGAGACAGAGTCTCACTCTTATTGCCCAGGCTGGAGTGCAGTGGTGCAATCTCAGCTCACTACAACCTCTGCCTCTCGGGTTCAAGCGATTCTCCTGTCTCAGCCTCCCAATAGCTAGGACTACAGGCATGTGCCACCATGCCTGGCTAATTTTGTATTTTTAGTAAAGACAGGGTTTCTCCATGTTGGTCAGGCTGGTCTTGAACTCCTTACATCAGGTAATCCACCCACCTAGGCCTCCCAAAGTGCTGGGATTACAAGTCTGAGCCACTGCACCTGGCGCCCCCCCCACCTTTTTTTTTTGAGATGGAGGTTTGCTCTTGTCACTAGGCTAGAATGCAATGGTGCAATCTTGGCTCACTGCAACCTCTGCCTTGAGGTTCAAGTAATTCTGCCTCAGCCTCCCGAGTAACTGGGACTACAGGCACATGCCACCTTGCCCAGCTAGCTTTTTGTTTTTTGGGGGGCGGGGTTTGGATTTTTAGTAAAGACGGGATTTCTCCATGTTGGTCAGGCTGGTCTCAAACTTCTGACCTCAGGTGATCCGCTCACCTTGGCCTCCCAAAGTGCTGGGATTACAGCCATGAGCCACTATGCCCGGCCCCATCCTGTTTCTTCTGTATCTTATCACTAAATGATCAAGGAACCAGGAAATGTTTAAAGATAAGGGTTTTTTATGAGGTTAGTGAGAGCATTATTTCCCACAATGTCTCATGAAACACCATCCTATAAGATACTCTGAGAAGTTTCCTTGATCATATTCATTCTCAGATTCTCCATACTATATTCTTTCAGATATTTAGAAGATATATATTAATATCGGAAGTGCTGAAAAGTCCTACTGTAAAGAAAGTTATTTTAACTTGGTTAAATTCTGAATGTTCCAAATGTATTTGATGAAGGTACTCTTTTTTCCAATAACATCTATGAAACCAATTCCTGTAAAATTCAGATTTCATAGAAGTTATCTCTTGTAGAACAGAACCCATTTTGCCCAACATGATATAGAGACAAATTTCTTAAACTATGAATGGGTCCAGAGATTCTCTAGTCTAAGAATGACCATAGCCTTAAAAGTGAACCACGTGAATACCAAATTTTCTCCCTTACTTCCACCTCTCTTCTGCCAGAGCCCAGTGTGTCCTCTAGCTCTACTGATGCCTATCCCTGTTCTGATTTTTCCATTCCTGCCCAAAGGAAGGAGACCCATTTGTCAGATAACAGTTGCCTATTCAGCGTGTGTGCCAGATCTTATGCTACACACTGGAGATATAGCAGTGAACAAAACAGACATGGCATTATTACTGTATTCTCTGTCTTTTCCTGTGCTTCACCCCTGGAGGGAGAACCCCACAATCTCATGTCCCAGAGCTTTACCACCTTGAATCCTCTAACACCCAGAGCTCTCCGGGTCCTGGGTTATGAAGCAGCTTGATATGGTTTGGCTCTGTGTCCCCACCAAATATCATTTTGTAGCTCCTATAATGCCCACATGTTGTGGGAGGGACCCAGTGGGAGATGACTGAATCATGGGGGCGGGTCTTTCCTGTGCTGTTCTCATGATAGTGCACGGGTCTCATGATATCTGATGGTTTTAAAAATGGGAGTTTCCCTGCACAAGCTCTCTCTGTCTGCTTTCATCCATGTAAGATGTGACTTACACCTCCTTGCCTTCCACCATGATTGTAAGGCCTTCCCAGCCAAATGGAACTGTAAGTCCAATAACCCTCTTTATTTTGTAAATTGCCCAGTCTCGAGTATGTCTTTATCAGCAGTGTGAAAACAAACTGTTACAGTAAATTGGTACCAGTAGAGTGGGGCACTGCTGAAAAGATACCCAAAAATGTGGAAGTGACTTTGGAACTGGGTAACAGGCAATGGTTGGAATAGTTTGGAGAGCTCAGAGGAAGACAGGAAAACATGGGAAAGTCTGGAACTCCCTAGAGACTTGTTGAATGGCTTTGACCAAAATGCTGACGATGATCTGGATGAGGAAATCCAGGTTGAGGTGGTCTCAGATGGAGATGAGGAACTTGGGAACTGGAGCAAAGATGACTTTTGCTATGTCTTAGCAAAGAGACTGGTGGCATTTGACCCTGCCCTAGAGATTTGTGGAACTTTGAACTTGAGGGAGATGATTTAGGGTATCTGGTGAAAGAAGTTTCTAAGCAGCAAAGCATTTAAGAGTTGACTTGGGTGCTGTTAATGGCATTCAGTTTTGTAAGGGAAGCAGAGCATAAAAGTTTGGAAAATTTGCAGCCTGACAATGCAATAGAAAAGAAAATCCTATTTTCTGAGGAGAAATTAAAGCCAGCTGCAGAAATTTGCATAAGTAATGAGGAGCTGAATGTTAATCCCCAAGACAATGGAGAAAATGCCTCCAAGGCATGTCAGATACCTTCACAGTAGCCCCTTCTATCACAGGCCCAGAGTACTAGGAGGAAAAAGTGGTTTCTGTGGGCTGGGCCCAGGATCCCTGTGCTGTGTACAGCCTAGGGACTTGGTGCCCTGTGTCCCAGCTGTTCCAGCCATGGCTGAAAGGGGCCAACATAGAGGTCAGGCCATGGCTTCAGAGGGTGCAAGCTCTAAGTCTTGGCAGCTTCCACATGGTGTTGAGCCTGCAAGGGCACATCAAAAATTGGAGTTTGGGAACCTCTGCTTAGATTTCAGAGGATGTATGGAAACTCCTGGAAGTCCAGGAAGAAGTTTGCTGCAGGGGCAGGGCACTCATGGAGAACTTCTGCTAGGACAGTGCAGAGGGAAATGTGGGGGCTCTGACCTCATTGGGGTACTACTTAGTGGAGTTGTGAGAAGAGGGCCACCATCTTCTAGACAACAGCATGGTAGATCCACCAACAGCTTGCACCATGCATCTGGAAAAGCCACAGACACTCAATGCCAGACCATAAAAGCAACTGAGAGGAAGGCTGTACCCTGCAAAGCCACAGAGGCAGAGTTGCCCAAGGCCATGGGAACCCACTTTTGCATCAGCATGACCTGGGTGTGAGACATGGAGTCAAAGGAGATCATTTTGAAGCTTTAAGATTTGACTGCTCCACTGTATTTCAGACTTGCACCTGGCCTGTAGCTCCTTTGTTTTGGCCAATTTCTCCCATTTGAAATGGCTGTATTTACTCAATGCCTGTACCACATTGTATCTAGGAAGTAACTAACTTGCTTTTGATTTTATAGGCTCACAGGTGGATAGGACTTGCCTTGTCTTGGTTGAGACTTTGGACTGTGGGCTTTTGAGTTAATGCTGAAATGAGTTGACTTTGGAGGACTGTTGATTTTGAAATATGAGGACATAAGATTTGGGAGGGGGCAGGGGTGGAATGACATGGTTTGGCTGTGTCCCCATCCAAATTTCATCTTGAATTCTCACATGTTGTGGGAGGGACCTGGTGAAAGTTAATTGCATGCTGTTCTTATGATAGTAAGTCTTATGAGATCTGATAGTTTTAAAAAAATCGGAGTTTCCCTGCACAAGCTCTCTTCTCTTGTCTGCTGTCACACATGGTGGCAGCACTATGTGTGATGTGCCTTTTGCCTTCCGCTATGATTGTGAGGCCTCCCCAGCCATGTGAAACTGTAAATCTATTAAACCTCTTCCTTTTGTAAATTGCCCAGCTTTGGGTATGTCTATCAGCAGTGTGAAAACGGACTAATACACAGCTCAAGAACCCTTTGGGTTAGTGGGGGAAATGAACATAGGAAGGAACCTGGAGATAACTACATGACAAAGGTCACAGGAGACTTCCATCATAGGCTATGGTTGGGGAAGGAGCACAAGGAACTGTTGGGAGTGAAACCATCACTGTATTTACTTTCTCCTTTTTTTTTCCTTTCTTCCTTCCCCCTTTCCCTCCCCCATCCCTCCTTCCCTCCCTTCATTTCCTCCTCTCCTCCCCTTCCCTTCCCTCCCCTCGTCGCTTCTTGACAGAGCCTCACTCTGTTGCCCAAGCTGGAGCACAGTGGCGCCGTCTTAGTTCACTCCACCCTCTTGCCTCCCAGGCTACAGGCATGCACTTCCACACTTGGCTAACCTTTAAACTTTTTTGTAGAGACGATGTCTCACCCTATTGCCTGGGCTGGTCTCAAACTTCTGGATTCAAGCAATCCTCCCACCTTGGCCTCCCAAAGTGCTATTACAGGCATGGACATTTCACTTTGTTTTCAATGTATAAGGAAGATGATGAAACTAGATATCTTATCAAGGAATACTTTCAACATTGATGCTGATTAGGAATACTAGAGAACTTTCAAAGTAAGAAGAAACAAAGCTAAGAATTAGTTTGGCTAAGTTACCAGGGAATATTTATTATAGTCATCCGTATTAATTGTTGCTTAATTATACTGCAGTACTAGGTGTGTTTGGCTTTCATAATTCGTTGCATATATTGCAAGGTCATCAACTAATAGCTAATTGATTTTTAGAGCTTGAAAGGACCTTGTAGAGATTGTATGGACATAGCCTACTCACAATTTAAAATTATAAAGGGAGAATGCCCAGGGATTCTGGGGGTAGAAAGTAACATTTTTAGGCTTTCATGTTGCATTTTTCATATAGGGCCTTCTGAAAATATGTGCTTAAGTCTAGGCAGCTATTATATTCATAGGAATTTTTAAGCTTTCAAGGAAGTGTAGATTCAGAAGAAATTTGAAAACAATTTTTAAAAAATATTCTTGATACAGAACCTTTGAGGGAGATGCAAATGTTCTGAATGCCAAATTTACTTAGATTTAAAAATACATATCTTCAAGCAGTTACCATGACAACCTTTCTTAATGTGTGTATAAATTTTATCTCTCTCTTTGAGGTTTTTATATTTTCCAATACAGGGTCTAATTACAAGAATTGAGCTCTGTGGTATATTTATATCTGGATGGTGCCCTGTAGAAATTATATAATTGAAAATGCAAATCAAGCAATAGGGCAGTTCTATAGCACAGTGATGCCACGAAGGTAAATGTCATCTTACTCTCTCTGTGATCAGAGATTTATCTGGTTTCAAACCCAAGATGAAATTTGGGATTGAAGTAGAACTGTGAATCTGTTCTGCTTATCCTTTTTCATATCTAGAAGATTTACAAGATGATCTTAGGAAGTTTGGTACATTCTGGACCAACTCTCTTGGGTAGCCCTAAAACTGATCCAGCTTCCTCAGACTCTTCTAAATCTAATCAATAGCTAATATCATAGGATGTCTCAGAACCATAAGACTCGTCTCTCTGATGGCATGCATGTGCACACAGATAAGCCAGGGGCTGCTTTCAGCCTGAGCCCCAGTCTAGCAAGGCTCAGGGGATACCACTTCACTTCCTTTAACCCATTTCCATGCCCAGCCTTCCAATTAAAACAAATTATTTAATTTACATATTCAGAGTATGATTTTCTTTTGGTTTCACTTTATTCTCTAAAGGAGGAATTTAGGCTGGGCACAGTGGCTCATGCCAGTAATCCCAGCACTCAGAGGCCAAAGCAGGAGGAACACTTAAGGCCAGGAGTTGAGACCAGCCTGAGCAACACAGACTCTATCTCTACAAGAAAATTAAATTAGCTGGGTGTGGTGGTGTGTATCTGTAGTCCCACCTACTTGGGAGGCTGAGTGGGGAGGACTGCTTGAACCCTGGAGGTGGAGATTGCAGTGAGATATGATCGTGCACCACTGCAATTCAGCCTAAGGTCTTATTCTGCAATTGAGACAGAATAAGACCCTGTCTCAAAAATAAAATTAAAAAGGAATAATTTAAAACAAACAAAAAAGGCCATCTAAGATAAAAAGAACTGGCTAAATTAGGATAATATGCTATTGATAACAGAGAAATAGGATAATAGTCTCCTAAAAACAAACAAAACACTTGAAAGATGTCCCACAGTCCATGTTATGATGTTTTTAGTTCATTTGTATTTTAAGAGGCACAATCACTGCTGTCTGTATAATTTGTGAGACCTACTTGGGAGAGGAAATCTCTTCTCATGGCACTGCCTTTTCAACCTTTGGTGAATGTGACCCCAAGGAACTGAAATCTCTTGCACTGGGCCACTTTATTGACTGGGGTGGGCTCTAGCCCTGCCAAGTCACCTAGTGAACATACTGTGGTGCTTCCAGCCCAAAGCAGATTTGACTGTTTTCTTGCTTTTCCTCAAGATACTGCAAAACAGACTGCTTGTGGGCCCTCTCCAACCTGCACCCAGATCCTTACTGGAGGCTGAGGGTGACCACAGGGAAAAGTGAACCTCACCTCCGCTCTCCTGCCAATGTGATCCAATGGCTGCTTGGGGCAGAAGGCAATAGCGGTTGTAGTAGTGAGCAGGGTTGGGGAGAGGGAGGCTGGTTGGTGTCCAGGGCACCAAGGGGCAGGAAGCTAGTCACTGAGAACCTGTAGAGGGAAGCATGGAGGTGGGCTCCACGTCCCTGGTGCATGCTCCTCCATGGTCCCATTGGACTTAACTTACAAGACACAAATTCAAAAATGAAACAATTAAGAATTTAGCCAGGTACGACGACTCACGCCTGTAATCCCAGCACTTTGGGAGACCGAGGTGGGCAGATCACTAGGTCAGGAGATCAACATCATCCTGGCTAACATGGTGAAAACCCACCTCTACTAAAAATTCAAAAAATTAGCAGAGCGTGGAGGCACATGCTTGTAGTCCCAGCTACTCAGGAGGCCGAGGCAGGAGAATCACTTGAACCCAGTGGGGAAGGCTGCATTGAGCCAAGATTGCACCACTGCACTCCAGCCTGGGTGATAGAGCAAGACGCCACCTCAAAATAAATAAATAAATAAAATTAAAAGAATTTAGGCCAAACACAGTGGCTCATGCCTATAATCCCAGCACTTTGGGAGGCTGAGACCATCCTGGCCAACATGGTGAAACACCATCTCTACCAAAAACACAAAAATTCGTTGAATGTGGCAGTGTGTGCCTGTAATCCTAGCTCCTAGGGAGGCTGAGGCAGGAGAATCTCTTGAACCTGGGAGGCAGATGTTGCAGTGAGCCAAGGTTGCGCCACTGCACTCCAGCCTAGCAACAGAGCTGGACTCTGTCTCAAAAAAAAAATTTTTTTTAAGTGCCTTCAAAGCATTAAACCCCAAGCATAGTGCCCCTCTGAGCAGTGGAATTCTGAGCAACTATAAGGGTTGCAACAACCCATGGAGCTGGCCCCCGACATGTCTGACCTTAGAGGGCATGGTGCTTGTGATTTGGTGTTTGAGGGCTATCCTTCTTGGTTGTATGATAGTTGTCCTTGCAAATATCCGTAAGTGTCTCATTCATGATTTATCTTTTAGGTGATTTAAATCTCTCTAGAATGTCTTACAATTCTTTACAACATAGGCAAGAATAGATCCCAATCTTTGTGTAAAAAATAAAACGACAAAAAAAAACAATTTCATAATACACATTTATTAAAGTTGGAAAAGTATATATAAATTTTTTGAAACATGGTCTCACTCTGTTGCTTAGGCTGGAGTGCAGAGGCATGATCATTGCTCACTGTAGCCTCAACCTCCAGGGCTCAAGCGATCCTCCCACCTCAGCCTCCTGAGTAGCTGGGACCACAGGCTCGAGCCACCAGGCCTGGCCAGTTTTTGTGTTTTTTTGTAGAGATGAGGTTTCACCATATTGTTCAGGCTGGTCTCAAACTCCTGGACTCAAGTAATTCCCCCCACCAGGTTGGCCTTTTAAAGTGCTGGGATTACAGGTATGAGCCATCACATGCTGTCAAAAGAATTCCAATACACTAAAAATCTCTTTTCTTAAACCATTTCACTCATGAAACTCTACTTTTCTGTATATTAACCATAATTGCCAAAAAAATTTCTGCTGGAAGAAAAATTTCTGCAGGGAAAATGATGTTTTCCCCTGAAATATCATTATAAAACCCTATGAAATATTTCAGTGATATGAATCATTCACTTAGTCATATGGGTAGACATTTAGATAATAGAAGTAGTTAACAGAAATCTGTGAGAAATATATTGTTAATTCCTGTGGAGGAGGAAGGAAGAAATCCTACTGAAATATTTTAAGTGTAGTTAAATTCAGTGTTCCCTGCCATTTTAAAATATCAAGATTATTCTGTTCTACTCCATTCTTTCCAAGGAGATACATAAAACAACTTTGATAAAATTATGAATCAGTTTTTGTTTGCTGTTAACCTATTCTACATTCCATTTCATGAAAATAGCAATTGGTGGCCAAGAAAACCCTTATTCTTATCAACCTCATACTACACAAATGAGACATTATTACCAAGCACCATAGTATTCAGTTAGCAATTTTGTCAACGTATAACCTCTTTGTTTGCGATATTATTGCAATGGACAAGAAACTAATTGTTTTTTAAAAAATTAGCAAGGTTTGAAAATCATACATATGATAGGTCAGTTAATATTCAGCATACATGTTCTAATGGTATTAATGCATAATCACAAAAACTGTTACATTTCAAACCCTGTAATTTATATTAGTAAATGAAGGTTAGTGTACTTTTCAGTAATAAAAACTCAGTTAATACATTTTGAAACTTGAAGTTTAAGAAAATCTTCAGAATAATTTAAAACAAAAATATGAATAGGCTAGACACAGTGGCTCATGCCCGTAGTCCCAGCTACTTGGGAGACTGGGGCAGGAGAATGAGGCGGACAGATCACCCAGGAACTTGAGGTTGCAGTGAGCTAAAACAGCACCACTCCACTCCAGCCTGGGTGACAGCAAGACCCTGTCTCTAAAAAATGAAAATTTAAATATAAAGTATTTTTAAAAGACATTTTCTAGGCTGGGTGTGGTGGCTCAAGCCTGTAATCCCAGCACTTTGGGAGGCCGAGGCAGGTGGATCACGAGGTCAGGAGATCGAAACCATCCTGGTCAACATGGTGAAACCCCGTCTCTACTAAAAATACAAAAAATTAGCTGGGCATGGTGGCATGTGCCTGTAATCCCAGCTATTCAGGAGGCTGAGGCAGGAGAATTGCCTGAACGCAGGAGGCGGAGGTTGCGGTGAGCCGACTTCGCGCCATTGCACTCCAGCCTGGGTAACAAGAGCGAAACTCCGTCTCAAAAAAAAGACATTTTCTACCCTATTCTTTCTTTTCCTTTCTTTCTTTCTCTTTCTTCCTTCCTCCCTCCCCCCTCTCCCCTTGCTTCTCTCTTTCTTTCTTTCTTTTGAGATGGGGTTTCGCTCTGTCACCCAGAGGTGGGATCATGGCTCACGGCACCACCTCAACTCCCTGGGCTCAAATGATCCTCCTGCCTCAGCCTCCCCAGTAGCAGAGACAACAGGCACATGCCAGCAAGCCTGGCTAATTTTTTATTTTTTGTAGAGACAGGGTTTCACCATGTTGGTTAGGTTGGTTTCAAACTCCTGGAGTCAAGTGATCCTCCCACCTCTGCCTCCCAAAGTGTTGGGATTACAGGCCTGAGCTACCACACTCAGCTGGCTACCCCATTCTTTTTCTTTTTTGAGATGGAGTCTCCCTCTGTCACCTAGACTGGAGTGTGGTGGCACAATCTTGGCTCACTGCAACCTCCACCTTCCAGTTTCAAGCAATTCTCCTGCCTCAGCCTCCTGAGTAGCTGGGGTTACAAGCGTGAGCCACCATACCCAGCTAATTTTTTGTATTTGTAGTGGAGACAAGGTTTCACCATGTCAGTCAGGTTGGTCTCAAACTCCTGACCTGAAGTGATCCACCTGCCTTCATTTCCCAAAGTGTGGGGATTGCAGACATGAGCCACCGTGCCTGGCCTACCCCATTGTTATACCTAGAACTACATTATGGTGCATAATTTCAAATTTATACTGTCTACTCTCTTATGGTTTAATGTTTAAAAATTTTAATCTCTTTATCTTTTAGGAAGCTCTTTATTTTGGTATTGCTGATAAGAAAACCACTATACATTACTAAATATTAAAATATAATCCCTTCAGGTTATGTTCTGGGTGTACAATATGTCTTCTCTCTCTCTCTCTTTTTTTTTTTTTTTTTTTGAGACAAGGTCTTGCTGTGTTGCCCAGGCTGGAGTGCAGTGGTGCCATCAGGATCAAGGCTCACTGCAGCCTCAACTTACCCAGCTCAAGTGATCCTCCTGCCTCAGCCTCCCAAGTAGCTGGGACTACAGATGCAAGCCACCAATGCCTAGTTAATTTTTGTATTTTTTGTAGAGACGGGCTTTTGCCCTATTGTTCAGGCTGGTCTTAAACTCCTGAGCTCAGTGGATCTGTCCACCTCGTGAGCCAGCATGCCTGGCCTCTCTTCTTTATAAGGGTAATTTTCAGTCAAGTGTGGTGGCTCACACCCATAATTCCAATACTTTGGGAGGACGAGGTGGGCTGATTTGCTTGAGCTCCGGAATTCGAGACCAACCTGGTCAACATAGTGAGACTCCATCTCTACAAAAGGAAAATAATACAAAAATTAGTTAGGCTTGATGGTGTGCACCCTGTAATGTTAACTACCCTGGAGGCTGAGGCAGCAGAATAGCTTGAGCCCAGGAAATAGAGGTTGCAGTGAGCCATGATCAACCCACCACACTCCAGCCTGGGTGACACCAGGTCTTGAGCACGAGCCTGTTTCAAGGGAAAAAAAAAATTTTTTTTGGAGCTTCCAGGTGGAGCTTCCAGGTATCTGAACATGTGGAGGTTCCTGGAGGGTAGCAGCCCGGGGAAGGCACAAAAACTCCATACCCTTCCTTTATACCTTGCCCTATGCACCTCTTATATGTGAAGAGACCAGGGATGGGAACACAGAGGAAAGGCCATATGAGGACACAGAAAGAAGATGACCAGTAAGGCCAGAGGAGAGGCCTCAGGAGAAACCCAGACTACCAGCACCTTGATCCTTGATCTTGGACTTCCAAGAACTAGAGCTCTAGAACTAGGATGCAGCAGCTCTACTGGAAGGTCTATGTGGTGAGGAACTAAAACCAAGAATGAGGAGCTGAGATTTCCATCAAGAAGATGTGGATGAGTCATCTTGGAAGCAGATTCCCCAGCCCCGTCAAGCCTTCAGATGATAGCATCCCTGGCTGACATCTGAACTACACTCTCATGAGTGACTTAGCCACACCACCCAGTGGAGCTGCTCCCAAATTCCTGATTCTCAGAAACTGTGTGAGATAATCATTGTTATCTTTTTCCAAAAAAGGTAGTTTCTTCTTTAAAAATGTTATTTATTTGGGTAGCAGATAATATGAGGGTATTTTCATTGATTTTGTTGGATATAAAATGATATTGTAGCCAGGCACCGTGGCTCACACCTGTAATCCCAGCACTCTGGGAGGGAGAGGCAGGCAGATCCCCTGAGGTCAGGAATTCTAGATCAGCCCGGCCAACATGCTGAAGCCCCATCTCTACTAAAAATATAAAAATTAGCTGGGTATGGTGATGGGCACCTGTAGTTCCAGCTACTCAGGAGGATGAGGCACAAAAATCATTTGAACCCAGGAGGCAGAGGTTGTAGTGAGCCAAAATTGTACCAGTGCACTCCAGCCTGGGCAACAGAGTGAGTGAGATTCGATCTCAAAAAAAAAAAAAGATATTGTGATTATGTAGCAAAATGTCCTTGTTTTTTAGAGATATATACTAAACTATGTAGGGGTTATATGTCCTGATGACTGTAATTATATTTAAAATTCTCCAGTATAAGAATAAAATGAGAAGACAAGGTAAAAATAGAATACATTGTTACATCTAATTAATGACTATTTGTGTATTCATTATATTATTCTCCATATTTGTATGTTTGTAGTTTCATAATAAAGAGCAAAGGGTGGGTGTGGTGGCTCATACCTGTAATCCCAGCCCTTTGAGAGGCCAAGGCAGGAAGATCACTTGAGCTCAGGAGTTTAAGAAGCCTAGGCAACATAGCGAGAATCTGTCTGCAAAAATACAGGTGTGTGCCTGTAGTTCCAGATACTTGGAAGGCTTAGGTAGGAGGATCACTTGAGGCCGGGAGGTCAAGGCTACACTGAGCAAAGATCAGACCACTGTACTCCAGCCTAGGTGACAAAGTGAGACCTTGTCTCAAAAAACAAAAATATTGTGGCCTGGTGCAGTGGCTTATGCCTGTAATCCCAGCACTTTGGGAGGCCAAGGCAGGCAGATCACCTGAGGTCAAGAGTTTGAGATCAGCCTGGCTTTCATGGTGAAACTCCATCTCTACTAAAAATAGAAAAATTAGCCAGGTGTGGTGGTGCACACCTGCGATCCCAGCTACTTGGGGAGGCTGAGGCATAAGAATCGCTTGAACCCAGGAAGTGGAGGTTGCAGTGAGCTGAGAGCATAGCTCCAGCCTCATCAATAGAGCAAGACTCCCATCTCAAAAATAAATAGGCCACCCCCCGCCAAAAAATTGTATTCATACAGCTATAAAGCATGGAATGCTATATTGCACAGTTGTATTACAGTGTAAGACTTAAAAAAAAAAAGTTATTTGGTCCTTTTTTTAAAAAAAAGAAACAGGATATCATTGTTGCCCAGACTAGAGTGCAGTGGCATGACTGTAGCTCACTGCAGCCTCAAACTTCTGGGTTCAAGTGATCCTCCCATCTCAGCCTCCCTAGTAGTGGGGACTATAGGCATGTACCACTATAGCTGGCTAATTCAATTTGTGTAAAGACGGGGTCTCACTATGTTGCAGGGGCTTCTCAAACTCCTGAGTTCAAGGAATCTGCTAGTATTGGCCTTCCAAAGTGCTAGGATTACAGGCATGAGCCACCACACCTGGCCAGTCACATCATTTCTGATTACAAAACTCTGTATGCATTTCTCCGGAGTATTGTGTAATATCTAACAGATAACTTAAATCAAGTTGATGATAAAATTACTAAAAAGAATTCATCTTGGGTTGCATTAATAAAAGTATCCTTTCTGGGCCAGCACAGTAGCTCATGCATATAATCCTAGCACTTTGGGAGGCTGAGGCGGGCGGATTACGAGGTCAGGAGTTTGAGACCAGCCTGGTCAACATGGTGAAACCCGGTCTCTACTAATAATACAAAAAATTAGCCAGGTGTGGTGGCACGTGCCTGTAATCCCAGCTACTCAGGAGGCTGAAGCAGGAAAATCACCTAAACCTGGGAGGCAGAAGTTCCAGTGAGCCAAGATTGCACCACTGCACTCCAGCCTAGGTGACAGAGTGAGACTGTCTCAAAAAAAAAAAAAAAAAGTCTCCTTTCTAGTTTGGGGAGATAAAACTCTCAGTGGACTTGTAAAAAATAATCCATGTTTGGTTGGGCACGGTGGTTTACACCTGTAATCCCAGCACTTTGGGAGGCTGAGATGGGCCGATCACTAGGTCAAGAGATTGAGACCATCCTGGACAACATGGTGAAACCCTGTCTCTACTAAAATACAAAAAATTAGCTGGGCGTGGTGGTGCGCACCTGTAGTCCCAGCTACTCGGGAGGCTGAGGCAGGAGAATTGCTTGAAGCTGGGAGGTGGAGGTTGCAGTGAGCTGAGATCATGCCACTGCACTCCAGCCTGGCACCTGGAGAAAGAGCAAGACTCTGTCTAAAAAAAAAAAAGAAAGAAAGAAAAAATAATCTATGTTCATTTTAGAGAAATTTAGATGAATAAAACAAAAAAAACATACAATTCTGCCATTCAGATTACACACACACACACACACACACACACACTATACATTTACAAATTACCTTTTAGAAAGGGTATATCAAATTAAATTCATGAGTATGTATAGTTGGTATTGTCATTCTTTGTAATCTTTGTCAATCTGATAGGTGAGAAATGTTTTTATTTTACTTGCATTTCTTTGATTATTGGGATATCAAACCTTTTTTAGTCACATTTATCAATCATTTGTATTTCTTATTTTGTAAATTTGCCTGTTTATGTCCTTTTCTCTATTGGGTATTCTAAGAACTTTTTATGTATTCTTTATATATTAAAAACGTTAACCATTTATCATAAACATCAGACATTTTCCTGATTGTCTTTTTTTGAACTATTTGTGCTGTTTTAAATTATATGAAAGTGTAACATTTTTCTTTTCTTTTTTTTTCAAATATAATTCAGAGAGAGCCTCTCCATTTCAATGTTATATATTTACCTTAATTTTCTTTTAGTTTTTTTGAGACAGAATCTTGCTCTGTTGCCCAGGCTGGAATGAAGTGGTGAAATCTCAGCTCACTGCAGCCTCCACCTCCTGGATTCAAGAAATGCTCGTGCCTCAACCAGCCAAGTCGCTGGGATTACAGGTACATGCCACCGTGCCTGGCTAATATTGTATTTGTATTTATGTTTTGAGATAGGTTTTCACTCTGTCACTCATGCTGGAGTGTAGTGGCATGATCTCAGCTTACTGCAGCCTCTGCCTCTCAGGTTCAATCGATTCTCCACCTCAGCCTTCCGAGTATCTGGGACTACAGATGCATACCATCATGCCCAGCTAATTTTTGTATTTTAGGGCTTTGTATTTTTGGGTTTTACCACGTTGGCCAGGCTGGTCTTGAATTCCTGACCTCAAGTGATCCAACCGCCTCAGCCTCCCAAAGTGCTTGGATTACAAGTGTGAGCCACTGTGCTCAGCCTCTTTTAGGGTTTTTAAAACTTGAAATCTTGAATTTACATTGCAATTATTTATTATTATTTTGAGACAGAGTCGTTCTGTTGCCCAGGCTGGAGTACAGTGGTGCAGATCATGGCTCACTGCAGCCTCAACCTTGTGGGCTCCAGAGATCCTCCCATCTCAGCCTCCCAGGTAGCTGGGATTACAGGTGTGTGTCACCATGCCTGGCTACTTTATTTTTTATTTTTGTATAGACAGGGGTCTTACTTTGTTGTCTATGCTAGTTTTGGACTCCTGGGCTCAAGTGATTCTCTTGCCTCGGCCTCCTAACGTGTTGGGATTACAGGTGTGCCCCACCTCTCTCTGCCAGAATTTATTTACTTATTTATTATTATTATTTTTTTGAGACAGGGTCTGGCTCTGTGCCTAGGCTGCAGTGCAGTGGCACAGTCTCAGCTCACTACAACGTCTGCCTCCCAGGCTCAAGCCATCCTCCCCTCTCAGTCTCCTAAGTAGCTGCAACTACGGACATGTGCCACCCGCCCAGCTAATTTTCCTATTATTTTTGTAGAGCCAGGATCTCCTTTGTTGACTAGGCTGGTCTGAAACTCCTGAGCTCAGGTCATCTGCCCACCTTGGCCTCCAAAGTTTCTGGGATTACAGGTGTGAGCCACTGTGCCTGGCCTAGTATTTATTTTTATATCATGATCTAACATTTTTTTCCCCTGTTATCTAGTTGTTCTAGTACTCTTTATTTTCCTTTGATTTGAAATGTTACATTGATCACATATTTAATTCTTATATTTACTAGGATTGAGTTTTTAGTTTTTATTTTACTCTGATGATACTTTCATTTATTCTACTTTATGTGTATATTTTTGTTTTGAGGCAGTCTCACTCTGTTGCCCAGAGTGGAGTGCAGTGTGCAATCTTGGCTCACTGCAACCTCTGGGTCCCAAATTAAAGTGATTCTTCTGCCTCAACCTCCCAAGTAGCTGGGATTATAGGCTCTCACTACCACACTCAGCTCATTTTTGTATTTTTTTTTTGAGACGGAGTTTCGCTCTTGTTACCCAGGCTGGAGTGCAATGGTGTGATCTCGGCTCACTGCATCCTCCGCCTCCCGGGTTCAGACAATTCTCCTGCCTCAGCCTCCTGAGTAACTGGGACTACAGGCGCATGCCACCATGCCCAGCTAATTTTTGTATTTTAGTAGAGACGGGGTTTCACCATGTTGGGCAGTCTGGTCTGGAACTCCTGACCTCAGGTGGTCTGCCTGCCTTGGCCTCCCAAACTGCTGGGATTACAGGCTACTTTATGTGTTTTTATTAATTAGACCCACAAGTTTTCTTCCTGATTATCCTTCTTCAGAAATGTCCTGGCTACTCTTGTGTTTTTATTTTTATACAGAACTTTAGAATAATGTTGCCAAGTTCTAAAAACACTGTATTGAGATTGTTGTCTGGTATCATTTTTGCTTCGAATATGGAATACTCTGTTCAATTTGGGGTCACATTTTAAAGATTTTGACAAGATGGTGAAGATTCCAAAAGGAGACAGTTACTTGTAAGGATAAGAACTGAATTTACATCAAAATATCATGAAACGGCTCAAAAATAATATTTGTATCTAAAATTTATTTTGTTCCTTTCTCCCAAGTTTGAATTTAGGTTTTCACACTTACTAGGTATCTTTGGGCAATCAATGTTTCTTAGTTTCAGTTCCCTCATCGGTAAAATGTTGGATTAAGACCTAGATAGTCTTTAAGATGCCCTCCAACTTGCACATTCCATAATTCTATGAAATATTTGATGAAGAATAGAAGAATTGGTTGTGTTTAGCCTTGAGAAGGAAAAAAAACCCCTATGCTTAGTGAATGCCCTGAAGTATCAAAGAGTTGCTTTATTGAAAGGAATTAACCTTCTCTTTTTTTTTTTTTGAGACGAAGTTTTGCTCTTGTTGCCCAGGCTGGAGTGCAATGGCACGATCTTGGCTCACTTCAACCTCTGCCTCCCGGGTTCAAGCAATTTTCCTGCCTCAGCCTCCCAAGTAGCTGGGAGTACAAGCATGTGCCACCATGCCCGGCTAATTTTGTATTTTTAGTAGAGACGGGGTTTCTCCATGTTGGTCAGGCTGGTCTTGAACTCCTGACCTCAGGTGATCCACCTGCCATGGCTTCCCAAAATGCTGGGATTACAGGCATGAGACACATGCCAGGCCAGAATTAACTTTTCTTTTTTAATTAAAAGAGGTTATGTAATGGATGTTCAATAGGCATTATTCATGTTTACATGCATTATTATTATTATTATTATTATTTTGAGACAGAGTCTCACTCTGTCACCCAGGCTGGAGTGCAGCGGCACGATCGCAGCTCACTGCAACCTCTGCCTCCCAGGTTCAAGCAATTCTCCTGCCTCAGCCTCCCTGAGTAGCTGGGATTACAGGCGTGCACTCCCACGCCCAGCTAATTTTTGTGTTTTTTAGTAGAAACGGGGTTTCACCATATTGAACAGGCTAGTCTCAAACTCCTGACCTCGTGATCCGCCTGCATTGGCCTCCCAAAGTGCTAGGATTACAAGGGTGAGCCACTGTGCCTGGCCTATGTGCATTATTAAAGTATCGCATTTACAGAGTTAAAGTACAAATGTGATTCAGCATGGTATCATGGAAAAGAAAAACATTACAAAAAAAATTAAACCGCAGGTATAATTGCTAACTCCATGATTTCCAAGTATATTTGGTAAGTTTGTTTCTCTAACTCTTGGTTTTTGAGTCTGGAAATGAGGATCATAAAACCTACTTTGCATTTAGTTGTGAAGATTAATTCTTGTGAAATGTAGAATGAATGCCTGGCACATAGTAGGCATTGAATGCATGTTAGTTACTCTCATTTTGCCCCCTCTCCCTCCACAGCTATTAAAGTCTTTTGAGAGGGGAAAACATGCTATACTACTTAAGGCTTTTATTTCATTAAATAACTTATCTAGAGTAGCATAATATCAACACAGAGCCTAATACGGTGTCCTGTATACCAGTGTTGTTAATAACAATGATCAAAACATTCAGAAAATAAATGTAAATTGGAGGTTTTCTAGGCATGTGAAATATTACGTAATTTATATGTAAATTGCACGACCAACTACCCAAGTGCCCAAGCCAGCAATCTTACCACCAATATTGACTCCTCTCTTTCATTAACTTCTATATTCAATCATTCACCAACCCCTATTGATTTTACCTACTAAATATTTATTACTCCATCTATTTCTTTGCATCTCCTCTCCCTGGAGATCATCATTTCTTAGCTTGATTGATTTAATAATCTTCAAACTAGTGTCTGCCTTTAGCATTGTTTCCCTGGTCTTTTCTCTGTAATGTATTCATCCTGAATTTATCTGATTAATATGTGAACATTTTGAATTTTCCAAGGTATGAGTGAGGTCAGTATACAAGGATATATATTGTAACTTGATTTTTGTTTGACCAATTTTTAGCGTGAAATGAGCAGCAACATGTTCTTATAAAGGAGATAGGCTGAATATGGTGTCTCACACCTGTAATCCAGCACTTTGGAGGTGGAGGCAGGCGATCACCTGAGGTCAGGAGTTTGAGATCAGCCTGGCCAACATGGTGGAACCCCATCTCTACTAAAAATACAAAAATTAGCCTGGCATGGTGGTGGATGCCAGTAGTCCCAGCTACTAAGGAGACTAAGGCAGGAGAATTGCTTGAAACTGGGAGGCAGAGATTGCTGTGAGCCAAGATTGCACCACTGCACTCCAGCCTGGGCGATAGAGTGAGACATCCATCTCAAAAAAAAATGACTATTAAATCATACACAAAAGTAATGGTTTTTTTTTTTTTTTTTTTTTTTTTTTTTTGACGGAATTTCACTCGTTACCCAGGCTGGAGTGCACTGCGACCTCCGCCTCCTGGGTTCAGGCAATTCTCCTGCCTCAGCCTCCTGAGTAGCTGGGATTACAGTCACGCGCCACTATACCAGCTAATTTTTTGTATTTTTAGTAGAGACAGGGTTTCACCATGTTGACCAGGATGGTTTTGATCTCTTGACCTCGTGATCCACCTGCCTTGGCCTCCCAAAGTGCTGGGATTATAGGCGTGAGCCACCGCGCCCAGCCTAAAAGTAATGGTTTTATTCATTAAAAAAATTTTTTTTCAGAGACTAAGGTCTATGTTTCCAAGGACTGGTCTCAAACTCCAGGGTTCAAGTGATCCTCCTACCTCAATCTCCTGAGTAGGTAGGACTCCAGGCACAAGCCACCTTGTCTGGCTAGAAGTTACGGTTTTTAAAGGTAAAATGTGCTTATATGACATGGGACTTAGAAGGGACTAATAATTTTAAAAACATTGGAATAAATTTAAGAAAAAAATTGTTTTAAGATGGGTTATAATGGCCAGGTGGTGGCCCACACCTGTTATCCCAGCACTTTGGGAGGCAGAGGCAGGTGGATCACGAGGTCAGAAGATCAAGACCATCCTGACAAACATGGTGAAACGTTTTCCCTACTAAATACAAAAAATTATCCAGGTGTGGTGGCATGTGCCTATAATCCTAGCTACTCAGGAGGATGAGGCAGAAGAATCGCTTGAACCTGGGAGGCAGAGGTTGCAGTGAGCCGAGATTGGGCCACTGCACTCCAGTGCAGTGTGGGTTATAACTTCACAACCTCATACATGGGTGTATTAGATTTGCATAATTTTGAAAATCTTCTCATCCTAAAGCTCTTAAATATGGCTTCTTAGAGCAATGAGTTTGCTGATTTATGTTTATAAGAAGTTGATGTGAAGTACATACTATTGTCATAATTGTAACTAAGGGCTTAAAAATACACTTTATCATACCAGTTCCTCCGAAAAATTGTAAAAATGAACAGATTTCAATTATCTTCATCAACTTAAACAAGTATGGAGAATTAATGGAAGATTTTCATGAGGTACACAATCTCATCCTTGAACCTAATAAGTATATAGTCTTACAGATTTTGGAGTTATCCTTTTTTTTGCTTAACCAATCTTGGTGGCAGCAAAGGGTTTATGTCCTTGCATCTTAGAATCTGCTTTGTACAAAGCACCTCTCTAGATGGAGTTTCCCAGCTGCCAGAAATTGGAATCACAGACTTTGAGCCAGAAGGGCCATTTCATAGGCATCACCTGGGATTTGTTAAACATAATATTAATAATTTGGGCTGGACCAACTGAATAAAAAACTCTGGAGGTAGGGTCCGGCAATCTGTTTTAATGAGCTCTCCAGGTGATTCTTTCCAATGCACACTCAAGTTTCAGAACTCTTGACCTGAGTTTCACCCTTTGATTTCCTTCCTTATTTCCTTTCTTCCCTCCCTCCACCTCCCCCTCTTCCTCCCTTCCTTTTCAGAACTCCTGACCTGAGTTTCACCCTTTGATTTCTCTCTCTCTTTTCTTTCTCTCTGTCTCTTTTTTTCCTTTCGTCTCCCTCTGTCTCCGAGGCTGGAGTGCAGTGGGGCAGTCTCTGCTCACTGCAACCTATGCCTTCCTGGTTCACTCGATTCTTGATTTTCCATCCTCAGCCTCCTGAGTCGCTGTGATTACAGGTGCCCAATACACCCAGCTAATTTTTGTATTTTTAGTATAGACAAGGTTTCATCATGTTTTCCAGGCTGGTCTCAAACTCCTAACCTCAAGTGATCCATCCACCTTGGTCTCCCAAAGTACTGGGATTACAGGAAAGAGCCACCGTTCCAGGCCTCACTGTTTGATTTCTTGATAAGGAAACTAAGGTCCAAAGAGTTGTCACTAATAAAGAAAATACTAGAATATTTTCTAGGTCATTTCTAGAATAATGAACCATCCCTCAGGGAAATTTGTTTATTGGTCTAATTGCTAAGCAGTAGTTGAAAGAATGCTGGGTGGGAATAAGTAACGATGGGGGAAGATTCTACCTTTTAACTCAACTGATGGGCTTCTTCAAGTTCAACAGCATTTTTTGATCCATTGAAGTTTAGTCTAAAGAAAAGTTTGCTTCATCTAATATTTGTTTTATTCACTTGATTATTCATATGTCTTATTCCTTGAAGCAAATTGATGTGTCACTTAAGTAACTACCCGTTTCCATCACTCATAGTCTCAAACTAATGAATCTCCAGGGTGTGTGACCCTGCAGCTTTCATTTTTAACAAGCTCATCACACTTAAGTTTGAGAACCACTACTACTGAAGATGATTAAAGTGCTTAAGAATAAAACTAGTTGGACTAGACCAACGTCTTCAATATCCTTTAATTTAGGTTCCACAGTGAAAACACATTCTGCTAAAGTATACATCATGAAGCTAATACAATAACATTAAGGTTTGCTCCAGAAATTTGTAATGGTATGGTTTAAAAGTGATTTTTTTCGGAAGTATAACATAGTTTCCTCATCATCTGAATGAAAAAAATTCACTGTAGGCGGGCCAAGAGATCACCAGATTAAGAACAAGTGTTGAAAACAATGGATTTTGTTCTAACTAAACAAGTCTAAGATGGCACTGCTGGAAGTCAACCTTGATTTTCCACAGCACAAATAAAGGTCACAGCTTTGTATCTCAGCAATTGTCAGGAGTTTTAGTTTTTCAAGATTACATTGTATGGGGTAGTTGGATTTAGGGAAACAGGACACAGTATCTGGAGAATAAAAACAGAATTATAATTGCAAGAGCAAAATTATCTGCCTTGAATTTTGTAGCACTTCATGTTTTTTTCAAGGTGTTTTCACATAAATGTTGATTTTTATCTACATAACAGCCCCGTGAAGAAGGCAGTTACTACTAGCAAAATCGTTTTCAAAATTTTAAATACCGAAACCATGAATTAAAAAAAGGACAGCGAAGTTGACAGCATTAGATAAATGACAGAAAAGGTTGTGGGTGAGGAAGCAAATCATCGAAATGGCAAACATAAAAAGCTGAGGCCCAGGGGACCGCAAACCAGAAGAGTAAGGGGCTAACCTGGCACGAGAGAAAGGCTTTGGTGGGGAAGTGTAAAGAGGCCGGAGCGCAGGTAAACTGGGGTTAGGAAACTGCAATTCACGGCAACAAAGAGGATGGGGTCAAATTTGAGAAAAATGAAGTCAGGTGGCATTGAAAGCTGCGTGGAAGTTTGTGAGCTTTATTTCTGCCCCGATGAGGAGTGATCTTTCACAGAGGAGGGTCCCAAGAGCGGAGGCTGTGTCCTCCTTCGGTTCCCCATCAGCAGCAGAGGGAGAAAAGCCTCGAGAAGTTCCCCAGGCCGATGACCCCCACGGGGGCTCGGCCCCAGGGTGAGGACAGCGCCGAGGTGAGTCCCGGAGGGCGCCGGAGGGAGGCCAGCGGAACTGGCTGGTGCGTTCCCGCCGGGCTAACAAAGGCCGCCGGGAGGTGAGGGCTTCTCCAGCCGCTCCAGCGGTCCGCGGGCGGCGGAAGGGTTAACTGCGCCACCGACTCCCGCGCGCATCCCGGCCCCCACCTCTGTCGTCGCTTGGAGACGCCGGAAGTGGGGGAGGGGCCGGCGGCGCGGGCGAGGGTGGGAATCTTTTTCGGGCGCCCGGGGGCGGAGAGAGGGGAGCGCGCGTGCGCGCGCCCGGCCTGCCGTCGCCGCGGTGACCGTCCTCGCAGTCCGTCGGCTCGCGCCCCGCCCCCGTCGCCCCCTCCCCTGTCGCGCGCTGGGGCTGTTTCTCGCTCCTCCCGAGTTACCGCCGCCGTCGCCGCCGCTCCTCCTCTCCCGGTCCTGGGTTTCCCTGGCGCTGCGGCCGCCGTTCCCTCTGCGAGCTGTATGAGGAGGAGGAGGAGGAGGATGTGAAGATGGCGGAGCTGCAGATGCTGCTGGAAGAGGAAATCCCGGGGGGCCGCCGGGCCCTCTTCGACAGCTATACGAATCTGGAACGGGTGGCCGATTACTGCGAGAACAACTACATCCAGGTGCGAAGCATCCCCCGCTGGGGCGCGTCCGGCCTCGGGTGGGCGGTGAGGGGCGCGTAGGGGACCCCCGAGTGGGGAGCCGCGCGCCTTGGGGCGTGGGGCCGAGACCGCTGCGGGGACATGGCCCGGTGGAGACCCCAATGGGGGTGGGGAGCTGGGTGAGGGCTGGGGCTGGTGAATGGGTGGGAATCCTCCGGCTGGATAAACTGCATCTTTAAAACCTATTTAAAAGCGGTGAAGCAGTCCTAGGCTCGGTGCGTGTATCGCGTCCCGCCTCCTCGCCGCTCCTGCCCTCGGCCGCCCCCGCACTCCGCGCGGGTCAGCGTTCCGGTTGGCGGAGGGGGCGGAGAGTGGCATTTTCTGTTTGACGGAATCCTACTCCCCCTTAGGGTAGGGGTCTCGCGGGCTTTGACGGGTTACCTCCATCCCCCAAATTCTGGACGATTTTTAAGCGGCTATCTTGCTGCAGAGTGAAGTGCTTCAGACTTCAGTTTTCTATTCCTGTGAATGCTTCAAAAGCCCTTAATATTTTATGTTCTAAAGGGGATACGGTGGAAGAGCAGCGGTCTCTTGTTGAAAGTTAATGCCGTTTTTCTCCCTATGGAGAATGATAATCAACTGATTCCCTCCTCCCTCTAGTCCCGTTAGAAAATTTTCCTGGGGGTGGGAGGAGGACGGACTATTACTGTTTCTTAGAGAGAATTGGGAAGATAAACCTCCTGGTTTAATTTTTTTTTTTTTAATACCGTGATGGATCGTTTGACACAGGGCTCACAGGGGTAGCGGCGTGTGTGTGGAGGCGGCAGATATTGGGTGACATGTGATCCAGCTGCTTCTGGATGAAGCAAAATATTCTGTGGATTAAAAAAAAAATCCTTCTTTAAAAATCACTTGAAAGGATAGCAGGTTAAAATGCACAGTTTGCAAAATCCAGCATCCTTTGCTTTTTTTTAAAAAAAAGATTTTGAATTATGGGTTCTGCCTCCATTTTTTTCTTTCACATTTAAATTCTCTTGGGATAAAGGTGGAGATGGAAGCAATATGTTAAACTGTTTCTTCACAGTCCTGTTTTTTTTTTTTTTTTTTTTTCTTGCTCCCACCTCCATCTCTCCAGGCATCCTTTTTCTTTTCTTTTTGAGACAGAATCTGGCTCTGTAGTCCAGGTGGGAGTGCGGTGGCCCCATCCCATCTGTTCTCACTGAAACTGGTCTCGACCTATTCTCGTGCTTCAGCTTCCCGAGTAGCTGGGGCTACAGGCGCACGTCACCACAGCCGGCTAATTCTTGTATTTTTAGTAAAGATGGGGTTTCACCATGTTGGCCAGACCAGTCTCGAACTCCTGACCTCAAGTAATCACCCACCTCGACCTCCCAAAATGCTGGGATTACAGGCAGGAGACACCTTAACATCAGATATATAGGAAAGCATTTTCATGTTTTAGTGTAAAATTTTAAAAACAGATGTTACAATTTTATTGGTTCATAAATTTTGTAATGGCCACATTGTTGATTACAGTAGTGAGATTTTGTGATTAGATATTGTTATCTTGTAGACAACATTTGTATTTGAGAATGTACCGCAGTATAAACCTGTTACCTCGAAAGACACAGTTGAATATGGCTACTAGGAAAGAAATGTAAGCAAGATTAATACAAAAAAATACAAATGTCCACTTGTAAGGTACTTTGCTGATTCAGAGGTTCAGGCCTGGGTGACGAGTGAGACTATGTCTCAAAAAAAAAAAAAAAGGTTTAGTTGCTCAATTTTTCGCTAAAATTGAAGGTCTTTTTTGGCCTAGAACTTCGTGAGGGGTGGATAGTACATACCTAGTGTCTACAGAGTTTCATAGTCTAGGTAGCAGGAGAGGCTGATCTTGGAGGAAATTAATATGTTAAATTTACACTCCGTAGTGCACTGCTGGTACCAAGGAGGACTGGAGGAAGCAATGCTGTTCTGAGGGAATTCACAATCTTTTGTTTTTTTCTTATTCCCTCCCAATATTGCATTATTTTTTTTCTTTTTGGAATTCACAATCTCCAGGAGAGGCAAAACCTAAAGGACTGAAGTGGTAATCCCATTGCCTTGTGCAGCATATTATGGATAGGGAGTTGCAGGTCAGAAGAGAAGTTGAGGGTGGAAAACTGCATTGAAATTATTACCAGTAAGAAATAAAATAGCCAGGCATGGTGGCTCATGCATGTAATTCCAGCATTTTGGGAGGCCGAGGCGGGCACATCACGAGGTCAAGAGATCAAGACCATATGGGCCAACATGGTAAAACCCTGTTTCTATGAATAATACAAAAATTAGCTGGGCATGGTGGCACGCGCCTGTAATCCCAGCTATTCGGGAGCTGAGGCAGGGGAATCTTGAACTTGGGAGGCGGAGGTTTCAGTGAGCCAAGATTGTGACATTGCACTCCAGCCTGGTGACAGAGTGAGACTCCATCTCAAAAAAATAAAGAAATAAATAAAAATAAAAAATAGATTGCTCTCTCTTTTACAAGATGACTTTTTATTGTAATTTGAAGGCCAAGTTCCTCTTAAATTATAATTGCTATATAAAGGTAAAAGGATACATATTATTAAAGCTGAAAGATTAAAGGGAGCAGTTGTCTTTTTAAATATTTTATACATTTCTTCCAGTTGAAAAGAGAAACATGTTACTGGATTCAGTGTCTGTTTTAGCAGTGGGACTCAAAACTTAGTGTGATGACATTTTAAAATTTAAAGGGTAAATATTGATTTAATAAAAATGAACTTAGATTTTAAAATATTTCTTCAGTTTAGCATCTGAAATAGATTTTACACTTTTTCTTGCTAGATTATTACTTATTTTAGGATGCCTTGGGTATATTATTAGTGCACTCTCCCAGGACGATAGCTCTTACATGATTTGTTGGGAAAGTTGACAAATATAATGTGGTGATAGTGGATTTGTGCTGATCCAGCTGTTCATTTGGCATATGTTCCTTGTGACTAAAGAACTGATGGGCAGGGGTTTTAATGCTGCTTGTGACCCTGCAAATAGATGAAAGTTAATTGATAGGATCAGTGATCAAATGGTCAATTTAGCCTTTTTTTTTTTTTTTTTTTTTTGAGACGGAGTCTTGCTCTGTTGCCCAGGCTGGAGTGCAGAGGCGTAATCTTGGCTCACTGCAACCTCCACCTCCTCAGTTCAGGCGATTCTTCTGCCTCAGCCTCCCGAGAAGCTGGGACTACAGGTATGCGCCACCACACCTGCCTAATTTTTGTATTGTTTATTTTATTTTGAGACAGGGTTTCTCCCTGTCACGCAGGCTGGAGTGAGTGGTGCAATCTCAGCTCAGCACACCTTCCATTTCTCAGGTTCAAGCGATCCTCTAGCTTCAGCCTCCCAAGTAGCTGGGACTACAGGCATGCGCCACCATGCCTGGCTAATTTTTTTTATTTTTAGTAGAGTCGAGGTTTCACTGTGTTAGCCAAGATGGTCCTGAAATTGTGATCCACCCACTTCAGCCTCCCAGAGTGCTGGGATTACAGGCGTGAGCCACTGCACCCAGCTAATTTTTGTATTTTTAGTAGAGATGGGGTTTCACCATGTTGGCCAGGCTGGTCTGGAACTCCTGGCCTCAGGTGATCTACCTGCCTCCGCCTCCCAAAGTGCTGGGATTACAGGTGTGAGCCATTGCGCCTGGCCAGTTTAGTCTTATTGTAGCATCACGTCTTAGCCACCAGCTCTAGTTAACCACTAATTTCATTGTGTGGAAATGTAATTTTTGCCCATAAAATAGAAAAAAAATCTGTTTATTATATGTAATAAATATTTTTGCTCAGTGTTCTTAAGTAACTGGTTTTGTGCCTAGGAATATCAAAAACATTTAAGGTAAATAACATTCTGAATGTGGATTATATGAAAATTGAGCCAAGGAAGGGAAATAATTGTGCCGTCCTGAAAATAATTGTACTCTGTTTAAATTGTTTGTGTTTTAGAAGAGTACCCTTCAGAAATATCATTAGATTAGGAGCGAGGAGATAGTTCCCGTATTAAAACATACATACACACAGACATACACACAAAATCTGCAGTTAGAGCAGAGTTGTAAATAGCTGTTTTCTAGGCTACTAATGTGTTAACATTAGAAATTTAGGTTAGGACTGATGGCTTATGCCTATAATCCCAGCATGTTGGGAGGTGGGGGCCAGTGGATGACTTGAGCCCAGGAGTTCGTGACCAGCCTGGACAACATGGTAAAACCCCTTCTGTGCAAAAAAAACAAAAAACAAAAAACAAAACAAAACTTGCTGGGCTTGGTAGTGTGCCTGTAGTCCCAGATACTCAGGAGGCTGAGGTAGGAGGATCACCTGAGCCTGGGAGATCAAGGCTGCAGTGAGCCATGATCCCACCACTGCACTCCAGCCTGGGCGACAGAGTGAGACTCTGTCTCCAAAAATGTTTAAAAATCTTTTTTTGTTTTGTTTTTTGAGACAGAGTTTCACTGCTGTTGTCCAGGCTGGAGTGCAATGGCATGACTTTGGCTCACTACAACCTCTGCCTCCAGGGTTCAAGCGATTCTCATGCCTCAGCTTCCTGAATAGCTGAGATTACAGACACATGGCACCACACCTAGATAATTTTGATATTATTAGTAGAGACTAAGTTTCACCATCTTGGCCAGGCTGGTCTTGAACTCCTGATCCCAGGTGATCCACCTGCTTCAGCCTCCTAAGGTGCTGGAATTACAGGTGTGAGCCACCACCCCTGCCCTAAAAATAATTTTTTTTCTTGGAGACGGAGTTTTGCTCTTGTTGTATAGGCTGGACTGCAATGGTGTGATATTGGCTCACTGCAGCCTCTGCCCCCCATAGATTCAAGTGATTCTCCTATTTCGGCCTTCTGAGTAGCTGGGATTACTGGTGCATACCAACACACTCAGCTAATTTTTGTATTTAGCTGGCTGAATACAAATTTTTTGTATTTAGTTAGCCAGGCTGGTCTCATACTCCTGACCTTAGGTGATC